GGAGCATGGTGGTGCATTGAAGTCAATGGCACCGCAGCCACGCCCCTCACCCGCAGTGCGATCACCGCACCCGGAACGCAGGCACATCAGTGCCTGCGTTCCAGGTCCAGTGCGGTCTGCAAAAATGCTGCAAGCACTATTTTTCAAGAAGAGAGATAACATGAGAGAAAAAAATAATGAAAAATAAAATGTGACCAGCTTACTTAGCAATAAAAACATATATGCAATGAGCTAAAAGGCATGAAAAAGTGCCCTATGCCAGTCTTTCATATATAAAGTCAGTGTATGTATGAGCTTTTGTCATTGGAATCCGAATTCCAATGAGGAGGGGGGCAGGAGGGGCAAACCACCCTTGTTGGGGCCCACGTTGATTCGCTTTTCTTTGTATCAGTTGGGTTTTACATTCCATATAAACCTATGGCAATTGCAGAAGGTGGAATAATTCACATAGAGGTGGACACAATGGGGCCGATGTGTAAATCTTCTGGGCAAACTCGTTTCCATGACATTACAGCAGCTAAAAGGAGCTAGAGGAGCATAGGAATTTTCTATGCTCCTCCGCACCATCCAGCGACTGTAATGCCGTGCAAGGTTTTATCCAGCTAGACGCTGGATGAAACCTATATAAATGAGCCCTTTAATGTGATTTGGATATTGCTGCACCACTGGAAAAATGGAAGACCACATTGTAGATGGACTAGTTGGACATTTATTTCACAATTCAATATTGATAATTTACAAGTGCCCTGTGGGTTTGAGCACTGCACAAGGTCTTCACACTGAGGTGTTATAGATGCTATTGACTTTAAATAATCTGTACTGATTACTTTTTTTTCATGCAATGGGTGGAATTTATCATAGCAATTGCGAGTGTTTGAACTCGCACATGGGATATATTTGCGCCAGATTTATGTTGCTATTTATGTTGGTCATGAATGAGATTAAATAGACTTCAGGAAAGAAGACTTGTACCTCCAGGCAAAAAAATACTTGTACCTCCAGGACATAGGGAAGGAAACTACACACAAAGGACAAAACACAAGCAAGTCTCTTAAGGGTAGGGCAGAGGAGACAATTGCACTCACATCATTACCCGTCCATCCCACCCCCTGGCCCGTCACAGACTATCCGGGTCAAAGGGTCAAGGAACCTTTGGAGAAGTTTGTTTAAAAAAAAAAACATCTAGCCAAGGAGACCAGATTACAGATCGCAATAAATTTAGACATAGTGTCATTTTGCATAACCATCTAGTTGAACATAGTATGAGACATAATTGTAAAAAAACAAGCTAAGGGAGAGGGTAGGGGTCTTCCAGGATCTCGCAATCACGCGTGAAGCTGCCGTAAAAATTGGTTGGAGCAATTTAAACTGAGTTATGGTGACTCCCCTTGGTTTTGTATTGGTCATTTTAAGAGAAAGATTCACATATTCTAGCACTGCATAATGTTTGTATATGTTTAGAGTAAAGAGATTATAGTGGAAACTTGTGCTGCGTTGTTTATTATGGGGATTCAAATTAGTGATGTGGTTGTCTGCTAAATGTGTGTTTCACTTTCCATGTACAAAGCAGTTAGATATCGGTCTGCATTCATGTAATCACAAAGGTGCAGCTCCAGGAATCACCACTAAGTGGTGCTCTTTCCCTTCATTCCATAACTGCTTATTTCTCATCAAGCAAGAGTAGCTGATAATAATTGACCCTCCTCGTCATTTCATTTCAATTAGCGGAATTAGCACTACTGGGATATTGGGTTCAGTTTTCTAAATTAGAGACAGTCTAAATGTGGTTTTGATGATCTCAGAAAATAATATGAATGTATATATTTGATATATTCCTATGATTTTCTTCATACTTAAACTGTTGCTTGATAAATGCCCAGTCAGCATTTAAAGTTGATGTATGGCCAAAACTTTCTTAATTTTGAATAGAGGGGGAAGGTGTAGCAAGTTTTAATTGCTGTTTGTGTCCTCGCTAGGTAGAGTCACCCTTTCTGTTTGTCCTGGTAACCATTGTCACCAAGACAGAAAATGTTGGAAAATACAGTTGTCACCAGAAGTGGAGGTGAGGGGAAATCTTCCAACGAGGAACCTGCTCAAGTGACAAATGTATGAGCTAAGAAGGGCATTCCCCTAACTTTGTAGAGATCTCCTCTCACTTCCCTTTGCATCTCTTGGACAGGAATTACATGAAAATCTCCCCTACAGTATGTAAATATTAAAAATAATAAACTGACAGGGGTTATTGACCTTTCTCTACTTAATCTAAAATTAAAAGGTAACATTTTGGCTATATGCACATTTAATGGGAAACCTGTCACGAGGGAACTATGTAGGCTGCCATTGCAAAGCTCTCCTTCTGAAAGCGTTAGTTGTCTGAGTGCCATGATAATCCTCTTGCTTCAATGACCAAGAACAAGTGTTACAGATAGGGTCTTTTGGGGTCTATCTGTGTTGTCTGATTTGCATATTATTTCAGGGTTGGTGACTCATACATTTTAGAATACCGTATATACTCGAGTATAAGCCGTCCCGAGTATAAGCCGTCCCGAGTATAAAAAAACTGGGAAAAAGTATTGACCCGAATATAAGCCGAGGGTGGGAAATGAGGCAGCTACTGGTAGATAGATACCAATAAAATTACATTAATATTTATTTAAAAGAAAAATAACCTAGCTCTGTAAGTGGAAAAGGGGGTGCAGGGCTACATATCATGTACTACGGATCATTTAACCCATTCATATTAGCAGAGGATAATTGTAAATCTATTGTTCAGTGCACTCTATATGTAGTATATAGTACATGTACATATAGAGTGCCTGCAACAATACATTTACAATGATCCTCTGCTAACATGAATGGGTTAAATGATCCATAGTACAGGGCTACATACAGATCATTTAATACATTCATGTTAGTATAATTGTAAATGTATTGTCTGCACTGTATTAGCAGTATATACTCTAGCCAGCTAAAATATTGTGTGTGTCAGTGACCTGTTGAGACTATTCTGAGCTTTGCACGGCGCCATCCGTGTTATCACCAGAGCACCACCACCATTGGAAGGTTGCAGACCGTAAGGAGTGCGGGTGGTTCTTGCAAACCGTCATACATTTTAGAGGGCAATATAGCAGCCAGGCATAGAGACCTCTATGCCTGTTGAGACTATGCCTGGCCTGTATAAACAGATACAATCACCACGGACAATCTTTATCAGATAGCTGAACTCACCAAATACCTTTTCATCCATGAAGATCTTTATTGGTATATATAGGTTACTGACAAACAACAGGATGGAGCAGACGGTATTTGCAGGTCAAAAGATGATAATGCCTTCCTACTCCAAGTGAGCATGTGAACATGTGGCCGGCAATATGGCCGAATGAGACTCATATGGAGAAGGAGGAGGAAATACATTATAAAAATGGAGGAAATACAGAAAAAGGAGGTGTATTAAATACAATGACCACAAGATGGCAGTATGTGAACCAACTATATTACACATAATACACAATAGCATATGGAATATTAACCATATGAACACTCAATTCACAATCATTACGATATTAACCATGAGTATGCATTGTACTATATTCCCATACAGTAGCTGTGACAGCACAAACTTCTAGATCGATATAATTATTAGGAAAGGGAGAAAACTTGGAAATCCAACATGGAAATACATACTTATTTTATATTTGACCACAGATACCCTTTAAATGAATAAACCTCCATAACTGCATGTGCATGCTGCTGCAGCATGGAGGTTATCCTCATGGCAAGGGAGGAAATCTGAGATGCCTCTAGTTCCTGTGCTCATTCTGAGGCATAGTGAAGCTGATCACATAACCTTTGCAGCACCAAATGGTAACCGTCATTGGGCAGGCAGACTTCATATAGACTAGAGCAGCCTTTCTCAACCACCTGGGGTACCTTCTGGCTTCCTCAGGGGAGCCTTGATATTTTCACACAGCATCATGCTTCTTCCATGGTGTATGCAGGTTGGCTGCCAGCACCATTAAGAATTACTCTAATCTGGGAAGGGTGGTGCTTAAAGCCTAGTTAAAGTCTTGTCATGCAATTTTTTTAAAAACTATTTGTTCATGCTTGACACTGTCCCAAGCTGTTTTGTTGTCTGGCAGCATGCTGGAGAGCTCACACAGGTCAGCGGTCCAGAGCTCACACAGTTTTCAGCAGTCTGATATGCCCCTGCTGCAATCAATAATGCGTTGGAGTATGAGTCTTGTTTACTGGAGTAGAAGGCATTGGAAACCTGGACCGCTGCTATGTGAGAGCAGCAATCCGGCTCTCCAGTGTGCTGCCAGGACATCTTAGTACAGTGTTAAACACAAACACACAAAATGAGAAATTAGTGCCATATGCTTTTTGTGGTATGATACAGTCTAACTACATAACAAGTAAAAGGTAAAGCTTCAGCTGTGCTTTAAACACCTTCATGCTATACCACAGCACTGTGTGAACAGCATTAGCATTCTATAATGACAAATGCCTTTAACCTTCTTCTCATGGCCTTTTAGGAGTGGAGAGGACTGGCGCTGTCAGAGGCTCATACTAAATCGAGAAGTCTTGTCAGTGGCGGGAATGAATCGCTTCTTGCCTCTTCTGGACAATGTTGGACAAGACTTTGTTCGCAGGGTTTACTCTCAGGTAGAGAGGAGTGGTCGGGGAAAATGGACAGCTGATTTGACCAATGAGCTCTTTCGATTTGCACTGGAATGTAAGTAAACAAAAACAAAGATTCTGGGTTAAAATACACTGCCTGGCCAAAAAAGGTCACCACCTGCATTTAGTTATGATAAATGTGCAGTATGGCTGGTATATAGTATAGATCCTGCTTTGAGCATCCCTGCTGACTGCACTGCAAAGATGTGTTTGGTGAGCATTGAACAAAATGAATGAGTGGCTTCTGTGCTGGCACCAAATGCTGTTATCAATTTGCAGTTATCTAGAGTTCATTTCAGGAAACAGAACAGACATAATGGTCCTATCGTGTACTTGTCATTCTCCAGGGCAATGCAGAATTTAGAAGTATAATTTGCAATTGTGCGCTTGCATCACCTAATATTATATAATGTACTATTGTTTCATGACTGTAATTTGTGTTCTAACCTATATATATAATATTCTTACAGCTGTTTGCTATGTCTTATATGGGCAGCGGCTTGGTCTCCTGCAGGATTACATAAACCCTGAATCTCAGGAGTTTATAGATTCAATAACATTAATGTTTGAGACAACCAGACCTATGTTGTACCTCCCTCCCCGTATTTTCAGACTCTTGAATCTATCTACATGGAAGGACCATGTTAAGGCATGGGATGCTATCTTCAACCATGGTAAGTGTTTTCACTGTTTGCGTGTTTAGATGTTACACTGCCACCCCTTCATCTTAGGAGGCTATGGTCAGTTAACACCTTTGCTTTGTGGAGGACAAAGAGAAGGCATATAGTAACTACATATATGCAGGGATCTCAAGTCTCCCTGATGTTCAGGGAGTCTCCCTCTATTAGATAGCGGCTCCCTGACGTCCGCGAGAGAGGCATTTTCTCCCTGAAAGGTTTACTCTGAGTAAACCTTTCCGATAAGATATCACTGGGTAAAGCTTCAGAGTGAGGCTTGCCTCCTGGAGGAAGTAAAGGGCACCTCCCTGAAATGAGACGGGAACCTCCCTGAAATAAGGTTTTGCAGGTTGGGATGTCTGTATATGGACCTTTCATGAACAAAGATAACTATTTAAGAACTTCTTTTACCTTTTATTAGTATGCTAAGGGCAAGGAAAGTCAAGATTAAGGTACTGGTGGGGTTATTATTGTATAGGCCCACTATAGCATGTATCGCCTGTTATCTATCTTCTGTGTTTAGTTACTATAAGCCATTTTTGCAGGATGCATATTAATTTTAAAGGAGAACTATGGGGTTAGGGCTTTTCCCCATAGTTCTCCGAAGGGTAATGGGAGGACACAAACTAGCGTCCTCCCGTTACCCAAAGCTCAGTATACCGTGTGCTACAGCTCGCGGTATACTGAGACGCCGCAGCTGAAACGGATCCCGACAATTATGTCTGGATCCGCCCAGCTGCATGAGTGACAGCTGGCTCTGCCTATCTAGAGGCAGAGCCAGCTGTACTCGCCCCCTCCCCGTCTGTTCCACCAGTCAGCGCTGGAGGATCAGAGCGGGGAGGGGGGAATCCAGTTCCTCCCCTGTCACGGCTCTCTGCCGTGACAGGATCGAGAAGTGAGCGAACGCCGGTATGTGTTCGCTCACATCCCGATCTACTGAGCCGACCTGTGACAGTCTCATTGTCACAGGTCGGCTAGAACTATGAGGTGAGTGAAAAGCACTCACCTCATAGTTCACCTTTAACAGGGTTATCTCAAGAGTATAGATTTCCTGATATCTCCACATATGGAGGAGGGAAAAGGTAATTCAGGGAAGGTAAAATAGTTGTGACTTAAAAATGGACCAAAAGGCTACAGACTACTGTACTTCCACCAGCAACATCTATCACCACTCCCGCCTAGAACACTTACCTGTTTTCAGGTTCTCAGGAACTTGGTAGGCTGCTTTTTCTCTGATACTTTTGAGTCTAAGCCCTTGGTCTTGTCCAAGGGTGGAGACTGTGAAGCAAAGATATTCATTGGCTGCTCATACAAAGGCAGCCAGTCAATGCCTATGCGTTTGTAAAAATCCTGAGTCTGACCGCATTTTGGACCACAAACTACAACTCTTCCTGGCATTGTAATTGACCTCCCTGGGCAGCACATGCCTGACTGTGTTGCATGGTGTAAAATGGAGATGATTGCGACAATTCGCGACAGAGGTGCTAAAAGTGTCTGTGGCAGTCTTTATGAATTCCATTGACTATGTTGGATGCTCCACTGTATTCAAAGCAGTGTGTATGAAACCTAATGCTGTATAAAATAACTGATGAAACCAGTAGAAAACTTTTTGGATAGTAGTGAAAAAGTCTGTAAATATGTTTGTATATATCTTTCTACAGCTGATATCTGTATACAGGGAATATACAGTTCACTAAAGCAGAAGCCAGATAATAATTACTCTGGAGTCCTTTCCAGTCTGCTCCTCCAGAATCAGCTACCCTTGGAGGACATTAAGGCCAGCATTACAGAGCTGATGGCTGGAGGTGTGGATACGGTAAGTGGCAGAATGCTTGTTCTGAAAAAAAAGAGTTCATTCAAAATTTGCATTGTGAATCATGAATGTGTAGTGTTTCTGACATGTATCCAGTGGTGTAACAGTAGCCATAGCAGCCCATGTGGCTGATTAGGAAACTCAACTGTGAAGTTTCCAGTAAGAAAGGACTGAAACCAGAGCTCAGGATTGTCTAGTCACAGATCCCCCTCTGAATAGTAGAAAACATTTGGTTATCTATCATAGCAGTGTAGATGTATTGCGCTCTAGGCTTGATTTGCCTAGGGAATGATGAATGAAATTATATACTTAACTTATTCCTTCCTAGCCCCCCTGGCAGGTGGCGCTCTCCTCTGCTGTCCGACACTACGGATGTGAGCGGGCTCTTAGCATTCTCCCATACAATGGAGGACTGTTGGTCATGCATTGTATGGGACGACGTCGGAGAGCTGAGACCAGTCGGGTAGCAAAGGGAAGAGGCTTCGGGGGACCGGTCAAAAGAGGAGGAAGCCTGCAGTAGCGAGAAATAAGGTAATTTATCTGTCTTTACAGTCACTTTTGTGATTCATGCACCTATGACACACAACACAGCCACCGTGGTGTCACCTCCTTGTCTGCAGCCTTCTGATTGGACAATGAAGGAGCCGCAACACTGATAAATCACTAACTCCGCTCACTCTTCTCTCTAATCTTGTCAACAAATGTGCAGGCGACAGAGCCTAAATAGGTCCTAGCTCTGCCCCTGCCTCTTCCAGTCTGAGTACTGTTGTTGGGAAGGTGAGAGAAGCCAATATTAATTCAAATTCAGGGATGCCTTATGCCACACTTTAATGTGAATTGTTTTTATTTTAAATAGGCGGTCAATACACATCAGTGTATCTGTAACCAAACGTGTCCCTTTCTTGCAATGCAGCTCACTACAATACATGGTAGTGCGTTACCATGTGTTGCGTTTCACAGATACCTTGCCTTAGTGTGATACACAGAATAAATGTGCAACAACATGAGCATTTTGCAGTAAGGTGTGAAGGTAGCCTAACATAATATTCAATGGTGTGTTTTTTTTTTATACCTGCCTGGGGTTGGCCTTTAAGATGTCTCCCTGTTGTTTTCTATATTAGAATATCCTTTATTAGAATGTATATCTTTTAAAATAGGTTTTTCACAGCTCATTTTTTGTGCCTTGTGTCCGCCAGCCTATTCAAATAGCCAAGTTGCGACGCAGTTCAATGCTCAAAAAATAGGTCTTACTGCAATACTCATTGCGACTAGTGGTCCACTGCAATGCAGTGCAGGTGCATTGTGGAGCAATGCTAAGTCAATAGTACCGATGCGTGTACGTTTTGTTAACGCACATGTGTTTTTTCATACTATACCTTGCATTTTGTTCAGAAAGTCCATTTACTTGCCAGTGCACCAGAATGGACAAAGAGATTTTCTCGAACCTATTGTTCCGATGCACACACCACATAGCATGGACCTTTTTTGCCATGTGTCTACTTGCGCTGCAACACAGGTAGGTTGTGGAGGTGAATTCTAAACAATGCCTTCCATTTTACCATTCCAAACAAATGGAACAAACACACCGACATTCAAAAGGCGCGTTACCATGCAAAGGTAAAATCCAGCCAGCAAGGACTAACACCTTTGCCTTTTTGCTGGGTACATTTTCTATTGAAATCAATGAAAACACATCAAAATACATGTCAACACATGTGTAAAGATGCACCTGGATGTATCACTAGACATGATGATTAAATACAAAGTGCATATCAACATGCATACAAAATGCATGACAGTGCACATTAACCTGCATCAACAAGTGTTTTGATGCTTTTTCATTTCAATAGAAAATACATTGGGGATACATGCATAGCTGGGAATAGGGTTAATTAAGGTGTAAAGACAACTCACCTAGCTAATTTAAGCTGTGTTTACTTCAGTCATCCAATCACGTGAAAGGCAAAATCCTGTTTTGTATGGCCCCATTCCATCCAGACGCGTGGTCCGATCAGGTCCAGCTGCCAGATTTTCAGTTAGATCTCATTGAAAGCTTTATGTCTGTCTATGGGCAGCTGGATCTAAAAGGACTTGCGTCTGTTTACATCTGATCACCCCTGAGTTTCATTTTGGCGGACCTGATCATGAAGGATCAGGGGTAGTCTGATGTAGACGGACGCATGTCTTCTTAGACATAGACCAACATGGGTCCAGTAAGTCCAATTTTACAATGGAAGAAAAAACCGGCCAGAAACGGATGTCACAACGGTGAACGGTGTACTGCTCCAATCAGCAAGGGATCCATGCACGTATCCTCTGTTGATCAGAATGGACAGGCTCCTACGTGAAGGGGGCCTAGGTCTTCTATACATTATTGGGTATTCAAAATGAATAGAGCGAAGTGAATGTTCTCTACTCTTTGCAACCATATTGTGCGCATAATTGCTGGCTGAATCACTCTTTGTAAGAGATGTCAAAGAGGAAGTATTTATAGCTAAACTGCGGAATGTCTAATCTTTCATGAATGCTCTTATTATTATTGTTGGTTTACCAAAAGGAGCTTAGAATGTTCACATGGCAAAGTAAATGTTCACTTTGAAACCCTAAAGTGTGTATTTTTTTCTTGCACATGACTGGAAGATTGTGTGATTACAGCTTTTTCATATTCACTAAGCAAAGTGAGCAATGTTTCTCCTTTTGTGAACAAACTCCAATCACCATATAAGCGGCAATTCTTAGCAACAAACAGCCATAAGCTGTGATATGACTGGTGCAGATTAAAGCATTAACGTGCAGATATAAATAAAATATCAAATCAAATATGCTGCTTATTAACTTTTATCTACTCAATGCAAATTGGATAATAAAAGCAGCAGTGGCGGAGCTAAGGAACAAAGGGCCCTGGTGCAAGATTTTTTTTGGGCCCCCCCCCCCCCAAAAAAACCACAAACACAGCATCCCCGAGAGCCTGAGGCCCCGGGCGCCCGCACCGCCTTCACCGGCGGTAGTTCCGCCACTGAAAAGCAGCAGTCTGGCTTTTCTTTGCCATCATTTATTGCAGAATTGCGGAACTGATACAAGCTTTGTGGGCTGACTTACTTTAAATACTCTTCAGCTAGTGAGCAGCTATAATAATAAGGCAGGTCTTCAGATGCAAATAATGGAAAAACTATTGACATGGCTGTGTTTGGACATGAAGATATAGGCATAATACAGTACTGATACCCCTATACACGAGCTCTGCCCATTGTGTTATGATTATGTATGCGTGTGCAATAGGGACCTTAGATTGTAAGCTCCTTAAGGGCAGGGACTGTTCTGTATGTAAAGCGCTGCGTAAATTGTCGGCGCTATATAAATATCTGTAATACATAAATACATTTGAGAAAAAATTTCTTCTATGATGCTTTGTTGCAGGCGGCATGTTGTGAACTTAGTACGCACAGCAGGGGCGTAACTAGAAATCACACGGCCCCATAGCAAAATTTTGTATGGGGCCCTGTGATTTCTAATTAAGCCCACCTGATAACCCAAACAGCCCACCTGAGGGTGACCCTGCAGAGCCCACCATAGACTGTCTATGCTGGGCTCTAGAGGGTCTCAGGTGGGCGGTCAAGCCCTCTTACCTGTCTGCTCCGATCCTCTATCCTCCTTCTCCTACACGATCGCTTGCTACACCGTCACTGGTCCCCACCTCCTCGATCGCTGGGCCTGCCTCTCCATCACTAAGCCCCACCTCTTCGATCGCTGGGCCCCGCCTCCTCCATCGCTGCTGACGACGGGCCCAGCCACCTCCTCCGAAGCTGCTGGTTGTCACCAACTCAGCAGCGGCTGTGAGGAGGAACACGCCGCTGCACATGTTAGTAGCGGCGCGTTCCTCCTCACAGCCACCCGTGACAGCCAGCAGCCTGAGATACCATAGCGACCCAGGCGCCCACACGGCATCAGGGGGATGTCCTGGCCGGGCCCCCCTGTGCCCCAGGCCCCATAGCGGCCTCCTGGGTCGCTATGGTGTTTGTTACGCCACTGACACACAGCTTCTACTTAACTGTGCAGAGCATCAAACAAGAGAAAGAAAAGAGAGAAGGGTTCATATTTCCCGAACTATAAAGAGTCTTCTGACTCATCTCAATATCCCTTAACTCCCCTTGTACCTACAGTTCTTGTGCTGAATAAAGCCACTAATGTCCAAAGGTGGAAGGTGGAGGGAAATAAAATAAGGAAAAAGCTATAAAAATGTGTATGCTTTGAGGTTTGATGATGCCTCTTCTAACCCTGCTGCCATAGGCACAGGCCAATGGTTGCCTTTATGGCATATAAAGCTCTGGTTGTTGATGTCCTAACTGCAATGTTAGCAATTAGTCTGCAATTTAAATAAACCTATGCAAAATGATTAGGCAATCAAACCATGTGGATTACATATCAATTTTTTTTAGTTCTTCAACCGTCAAGATTATTTAATGAGTACTAGTCAAATCACTGCGCCCATAACAACTAATCAACACTACTGCTGTTGTGACTGCTTGAAACATGAATTCTGATTGGATGAAGGGGGTTATTGTACCACTTAGTATTATATTATTCACACTAAAAGGACTGAAAATGTACATAGGAAAATCACAATCAGACATAACTCAACTAGACTTTCCTTTGAAATTGAAATTGAAAACAAAAACATGTTTCTTTCAGTATAGCGCCATTTACCCATTATGTCATTCCTTAGTTACTATGGAAGCAGGCTAGAGCACAGAGAGCCCAGAAATATGTTTTTTTTTCTGTATTATTAGTGCTCGTGCTGCTTTTCAATAGGCCAAGCTGCATAATAGGAAAGCATAGTCTGAGATGTGTACAAAAATGAAAATGTAATTTCATGCCAATCTATCCCACATCGCTTTTGTTGTTCAAGGAAATAAGTTCGAATGAGTTGATTCACCCAGCACATGGCAACATAGCAATGTGGGGATTGTAGGTTTCTGAAATCCATGAAACTAAATGACACTGTTGTTCATGTACCTCACTTAAAAATGCATTTTATAAAACAAAAACCACTGATAGGAGCCACCTTGCAGAGCTTTAGAGCTGCCTGCAAGGAGATCTTCATCTCCTCTACCCCTGGTCCACCTTAACCAGGAACTCTGCGTTTCCTCTCAGTTTGGCTAGGGAACGTCTTGAAGAAATGTTGGCCACACTCTAGGGCAGGGCTTAAAATTTCCAGTCCTGACCTACTAGCCAGGCCTTAAAAGTTACTCGCCACCAATTGCCCCACCTAACCCCTACCCTGCCCTAACTCCGCCAGGTCAGCAGTGTGACGCAGAGTACAGAGATCAGTAACAACGGACAGTACAGAGGTCAGTAGTGTAATGCCAAATACAGAGGCCAGTAATGTGACGCAGAGTAGCAAGCCCAGTGGTGTGACGCACAGTCAGAGATCAGTAACAACGCACAGTACAGAGGTCAGTGGTGTAATGCCGAATACAGAAGGCCAGCGGTGTGACGCAGAGTACATAGATCAGTAAAAACTAGGGATGCACCGATACCGATATTAGTATAGGTATTGGTGCCGATGCCGAGTATTTGGGCAAGTTCTTGTACTCGCTCTGATGCCTAGCCCGATACTTGAGCTTCTGGTATCAGGAAGCCGGGCAGCGAGTCATTTCACGCTGCGCAGCTTCCTGATTGGCCGGGAAGCTGACTCCATGCTCCCTCATCACTTGTGATGAGGGAGCATGCAGCCGGCTTCCCAACCAATCAGGAAGCTGGGCAGCGTGTATTGACTCACTGCCCGGCTTCCTGATTGGTCGGGAAGCTGGCCAGTCAGGAAGCCGGGCGCCGTGTCATGACGCACCGCCCGGCTTTCTGATTGGCCCGAAAGCTGGCTCCATGCATTCTAGTCACATAGTGACGAGAAGCATGGAGACGGCTTCCCTGCTAATCGGGAAGCCGGGTGGCGAGTATTTACACACTGCCTGGATTCCTGGCTAATTAGGAAGCCAGGTGGCGAGTCATTACACGCCGCCTGGCTTCCTTGATAGGACTTCCGGTATCGGTATTCGGTATTGGCGAGTACCAAAAAAACATATCGGTACTCGTACTCGATACCGAAAAAACAGTATCGGTGTATCCCTAGTAACAACGCACAGTACAGAGGCCAGCTGTCTGCCACACAGTACAGAGGTCAGCGGTGTGACGCACAGTGCAGAGGTCAGCGGTGTAACGCAGAAAAAACGGACTTACAGTGCACAGATGATCTGATTCAGGTGCCCTCTTCCTCTTCTGGTGGTGGGGTGGGGGGTTGCAGCGATGTTGCCTCAATGTAACAAGGTTAAGCCTCCAGCAGCCTCGTTGAGCCTCCCTTCAGGTTCCAGCGCTGCAGAAATGTACAGAGGTCAGTGGTGTGACGCACAGTACAGAGGTCAGCCATATGACGCACAGAATAGAGGCCAGCAGTATGATGCACAGTACAGAGGCCAGCAGTATGATACACAGTACAGAGGTCAGCAGTATGACGTTCAGTACAGAGCTTAGCAGTATGACGTTCAGTACAGAGCTTAGCAGTATGACGCAGAGTACAAAGGTCAGTAATGTAATTCACAGTACAGAGGTCAGCAGTACAGAGGTCAGTAATGTAACGCACAGTACAGAGGTCAGCGGTATGACACACAGGTCAGCAGTACAGAGGTCAGAAATGTAACGCACAGCACAGAGGTCAGCGGTATAATGCACAGTACAGAGACCAGCAGTATGATGCACAGTACAGAGGTCAGCAGTATGACGTACAGTACAGAGTTCAGCAGTATGACGCACAGTACAGAGGTCAGTAATGTAACACACAGTACAGAGGTCAGCAGTACAGAGGTCAGTAATGTAACGCACAGAACAGAAGTCAGCGGTATGTAGGTGAAGCCTCCCTTCAGGTCCCGAGCTCTTCTGCCAGCCAGCCAATTGTAGCTATGCAGTCTTTCTCCCAGCCTATGGCAGCTAAAGTGGGTGGAGAAAGCTGTAGGTGGCCGTAGGAGCCAGTGTGACGGGCAGACAGCTGAACGCATTCTCCCTCCCTTGTCTTCTCCTCCATGGCTGCTGCAGCTACAGAGCGACCGAGGAGGAGAAGAGAAAGGGGGGAGTACTAAACGGGTGATCGCTGCTGCGGAAGCGGTGGCAGTTTTCCCCCTGGTCCTATCGGTGGTGCCCCCCCATTAATTTCCACTCCCCCCACGCAATTTTCACTCGCCAATTGCGAGGGGGCAAGTGGAAATTTTGAGCCCTGCTCTAGGGTGAATGCAGGCCAATTATTTCAACGGTGGCTTTTCCATGACTGGTGTGTCCTCTCAGAATGTTCACAGTCCACACAGATTCCCCAATAGTCATACTTTTAAATTAGACACATTTTAAATGACCCCCAAACCAGATCACTGTTTTCTAAGGCTCTCACATGCTTAGTGTCCCTGAGACCTTGTGTCCCAGGGACACTACTCACACATCTCATACACTTATCAGACTATGTTCACCATCTGGGAGCCCAATGTAGACCCAACCTGCAGGCCTTTGGAACAGGAATTGGTTAACATTAGGCTCTGCAAGGGTGCACTGAATGTAAATGTAAATGCTCAGGAGAATGGCTAAATAAACGTGAATGTGCTCGGTGGTATACAATACCTCCACTGCTTCAAAAAATATCCCTAAAATAAGCGATCAATGTTAGAGATGTGCTTAAAAGACAGGATCAATGCTGCACATCTGGTGGCAGTGCAATATATTGCAACCATTTTGATTTAAGGTACACCACATCACCTCGGCAGTTACCAGTTTCAATGTAGATTTTGAGCCCACCCAGTTTCTCTTACACTACACTTTAATCCCTATGAAACATTATTTTAAATCTCCAGCCATGCACATAATCAACTCAGCTAAGGTGTGCATACTGGTACACTGGAGGTCTAAACATGCCCTCACCATACAGGACTAGTTTCAAAGAATAAATAAAGTACAAATAGAAATAGAGGGACTTACCCAAATCGCACAAGATAGGCTTACCTATCTTACCGCTGTATTCATTATAACATGATGACAGACTATAGCAGGATAGTGTCAAGTTAACACTAGGGTATCATGGTATCATGTGGTATCAGGGTATCATGTGTGCTCATCTCTACCCACCTAACATTGACTTCTCATGTGACAGGTTTTCACCGGGTGTGTGGTTTAGAAGGGGAGACATAATCTCAGACCCTGCCTGCCCAGCTGTGGAAGAGGGTCCCTTCATGGGGAAGCTCCAACCTTCCATACCTGACACCCTTTCCTTTGCCCAAGGTCCCAAGATCTTAATGGTCATGATCTCTCTGGCCATGATCGCTATAGCAATGATCTCTAGCAGTCTCATGTAACATATCCCGTCTCTTACTGTCTACACTGCATACTATTGGTAGCCCTTTGGTGATTTCAGGGGCCACATTTGAGGCTCTGTATATCTAGTTGACAACCACTGCTCTAAATAGAAGTAAATTGATTCAGTTTATTATAAAAAAAAACAGTCAGTAAATAATTTACAACCATTTTCTTTAATCTTATCACAGACATCAGTAACTCTGCAGTGGGCTATGTATGAGCTGGCCCGTGCCCCTAGTGTGCAGGAGAAGCTAAGGTCTGAAATTATAGCTGCCAGACAGGCTGCTGGGAATGATCTTACTGTTTTGTTGAAAATAATTCCACTGGTCCGGGCGACTATAAAAGAAACACTCAGGTAAGACCGAGGGCATTCTCATGAGATCAGTTTATTTTGGTTTTTGCCACACATATGGAAACAAACCTACTGCCCTTCATATTTTATTTTTGCAGGCTACATCCCGTGGCCATCTCATTGCAGCGATACACACAGCGTGATACAGTTATCAGAAACTTCATGATACCACGGGGGGTAAGGAGGAAAAAAGCAGCTTGGAACCTAAAAGCCTATAAAAAATGAGCTCCATGTGCTACTCTTTTAATTAAAATCTTTGCTTTTCATTTTCAGACACTAGTACAGGTTGGGCTATATGCCATGGGTCGGAATAAGGATATATTTCCTTCCCCTGAGAAGTTCTCCCCAGAGCGCTGGTTGGGCGGTGAATTAACACACTTTCGGAGTCTTGGTTTTGGTTTTGGACCACGACAATGTCTTGGAAGGAGGATAGCAGAAATGGAGATGCACCTTTTTTTGGTTCATGTATGTATAGAGAACTATTCTGTTCAATACAAGAATGTTGCAAATATAATAGAGATAGGAAGTGGGTGATTTGTAGCTGCAGTAGGTATTACTTTTTTTTTACCAGCAAGTAGCTAGCTCTATTGCTTTCATTTGAACTAGAAAAAGTGTACCTGTTAGGGCACAGATGGATGTGTGACAACTAATGCTGTCTTCTATGTGTAGGGCCATTATCTGAAGGGGGACCACAGATCTTTGCCATTATCTGAAGGGGGACCACAGATAATGGCAAAGTATATACTATACACAATCAAAAGTGTAAAGTATACGTATAACATACAGTCAAATCTATATTGTGGATCCATGTTGTGCAATATACATACAAAACCCTGTAGGACCACACTGAGTAGTCCTGTACCACAAAAAAACATACTCATTGGCAGCACTGAGCAGCCTGTATCTAAGTGCCAATCCAGCCTTTTCCAGCAGCCATAGATATATCTACAGTATAGTCTTAATCAATAACAGTCTAAAATACAGTCCTCACCTCAGTCTCAGTGAGGTACTAGACTAGTGCCAAATAATAGCAGCCTGTGACCCTCCATTCCCTCCCTGAAACCATGGAGAAAGCATAATCCCAGTGGGAGCCCTACTGCTTGTTCTCAGCGGACTACCACACCTTTGGATGTAATAAAGGGCAATAAAATGCAGCATCGTCAAAAACTGCAGTGTGAATGCAGCCTTATGGATAAGCATGAGTCATTGCAGACATCTTTATCTGGCTCTATGGGCTTAATGACAGTCAATGTCCCTATTCCTGATGTGTAGAGGCAGGGCCGGCACAGGGCGCCATGGCAACAAGGGCGCCAGGCGCCTCGGGGCGGCTACAGCCTGCGGCTTCTCTCCTCCTCACCACTCGGCCATCCGACATGACAGCGCTCCCTCCTTTGCCCCCCCCCCCCCTTCAGCGCTGTCCTCGGATCTCCGCTGCCTGTATGGGCTGAGAAACTGTCCGCTGAAGTCCGAGCGCGCGTGGGGGTGGGGGGCAAGGGTGCAGATCGGAGCCGTTGTCATCCTGTCAGTTTCCGGATGACAGCGGCTCTGTGCGTGGCCGAGCGGAGGATCGGTAGATATCTATGATATCTACCGATCCTCTGTGCAGAGCAAACACTGTAGTGATCGTCTGATCCCTCCAGTGTTTGTAAATAACTGGGGACACATAGTACTACTTTAAAATGTAAAAGTCAGGGGTCTGTTTAGACCCCAGATATTTCCCGAAGCCCCTTAACAATAAAAAAATAATAAAAATAAAGAATACCAAGATGGTGTGTGACGTCACCTGAGATGGTGGCACACATTCGCAGAACGCGCCAGTGGCCAACATGGCCGCCTCGCATTCTCAAACAAATTTTTATGTGCCTGAATAAATTTTTCGTATATTCGGGCAAATAGTAATTCATTAACATGTAGTCTAGGTTTTGTGTTCTGTTTTTTTATTTTTACTTTTCTAGATACACTTAGTTGAAAATAGGGTCGACATGATAACCTGACACTTTATTTTTATAGACTCTATTTTAGTTTGACATTTATTGTTTTCCACTTGTTTGCCTTCTGTTGTATTATTTAATAACAATACTTATATTGTGCCTACAAGTTTAATACCTTTGAACAAAAGTTTTTAATATGTTTATTTGGGGCTTAACAAAATGGGAGGCTTAGAATGGTGCGGATATTGGAGAAATTTGTGTGGCCACTGAGGGGTGTGGTTATTGAGAGGTGTGGTCACTGAGGGGCACTGTAAAGCTTTCTCGCACAGGGCACCTAACGGCCTAAGGCTGGCCCTGTGTAGAGGTCCTGCTTTCTACATCAACCACAACACACTGAAGAGGTGGATCTTAGTGGAAAGGGGAGGAGTCTAGTGAACTTCAGAGAACATTGTCACCTTACATGTAGTTTGTTCTGGAAAATGTGTAAATGGGGTCAACTGCAACAACATTCATGTGTACGGTGTTGCAACAGTCATATGTAAATCCAGTGAAAATCCCCAGAAGCTACTGTGCATTGGGCTATACACTGTGCTGCAATCACTTAATAGAAGGCAGGGCAGATTGCAAACTCAGGGCTATTTGCACACTTCTCCAACAGTTTTCCACAGGTTAAATTGTATAGCATTTTGCAGCCCTCCTCAGTTTTTTTTTACACAGCCTTGAAGGTTACAGCTCCTGGTACATTAGCATGGTGGTCAGTGGGAAGAATGCCTCTGACAATATTGGCCAGTGGGAAAAGTGCCCACCTTACAGATTGCTAAAAGATCAATGGTAACATTGATAACTTACCCGAGAGCCAGATTTTGCTCAAGAAACCCCTAGCAGCCTCTGGAGGAACCCTAGTTGAGAAAGACAGGTGTAGAGGGATATGCAGTGACTGACTTAGGTATTAATCTACTGTACAATCTCTGTACTCATTTAGATTTACCAAAACTATATAATATGGGAACCTACCTAGATTAGCCATTCAATTTGTATCCAGTTACAAAGCATTGTCACTGCTATAAAAATAACAGTAATTCCACCACTTCTAGTGCCAGCAAAGGTCCTATTGTGTATTAGAATTGGAACCCTCCAGTGCAATCAGCACCTCAGTCTCTTTATCTGCCCATAGAGGCTAAATGACAGTATAGTACCACCATGTGTCATTCCTATTGAGTGTTTTGCAGGCGGAACTATTAGTGTTATCTGACTACATCACGTTACCAACTAGAGGGCCTGCAGCTCTAGCACTAGAGAGTCTCCTCCTAGGCTGCATTGAAAAAGGAAGACAACTACCAGGATCATGTAACTTTATTTAAAGTGACATTAAACCCTCAGATTTTTTAACATAAACCAATACTGTAATGTGTGCCTTACTGTAATCCATGGTTGTTTCCCTTCTCTTTGCTGCTCTTCCTTTTAAATCTGTATCTGTTCTCATGCTGGGCAGAACTTCTGTTTTGCAGCAGACTGCCTTGTCTCTGAAATGGATACATGGTGTCTGTGTGTAGGTTTGCAACTTGAGCTAGCACTACATTAAGAGGCACTCAGCTGCAAAGGGAAGTTCTCCCCCAGCATGAGAAGACATGAGGATTTAAAAGGAAGAGCAGCAAAGAGAAGGGAAACTACCATGGATTACAGTAAGGCACACATTACAGTATTGGTTTATGTTAAAAAATCTGAGGGTTTAATGTCACTTTAAGTAGTTTTATGGTCCTTTAACAATATTTTTTGTGACTTAAGGTTTTTAATAAGTGTAGAAGGGGTTTCAATACTACACACCAACACTTTATCTCTTGTTTAGCTACTGATATACAGTAAGTCCATCATAAACTAATATTTTTGTGCTAGATGCTAGCAACTTAAACCACCTTATCACTGTACTTGATTTCCAGGGTCTGCACAGCAGCTGTGGCCGTTATAAGGGAGTGTGCCACTTTCCCTGTCGGATTTTGTATTCGTTATGTGTCATGGAGTAGTCTGGATCAGAGTAATTCCTATGCTATACAGCCAAATGTAGAAAGGGGGAAAATTACAAACAAATACATAATCCATATAATAGAATGTCATTGCTCAAATAGTTCACTAAACCTGTTTAAAGTTTTATCTTTTTTTATTACCTTGTTCCGATTGGATCTTCATATCATTGAAGAAGGGTGCAGTGTGAAGGCATCATGGGTCGTATAGATGAAAAAGTGTGCTAACAAGAATATTTCTTATTGCTCATAGCATCCAATCAGAATGGTACTTGTCTAAATGTCAGTACTGACTCTTTTAATACGGCTTTGATTACGAGTGAAAATGTTTCTTCTATTTTACAGATACTGGAGAATTTTAAGATCGAAACGAACCGCATGATTGAGGCGGAAACAACATTTAAGCTCATTCTTTTTCCATCCAAACCAATACAATTAACTCTACGTCCTCTGGATAACTCCAAAATACCTGCAGCCTGCTGATCCATGATACAAGATTACTGGGCAGTCATAACAGTTATGAGACAGATACATATAGTATCCATTACAGGAGCTGAAAAAGAGCATTTGTGTAATATTTCTAGGTACTGGGTGACTGTTGTGAAATTAATTGCATAAGATTAATCACTGATAAATATATAGAAGAAAGAAAACAATTGTGCAGATCTACTACTAATCACACCGCTAATTCAACTGTAATGGAAGCAATTTGTTTATGCTTCAGCCAAAGTCATACACGTCTGAAAGTATAACTGAGCAGTAAAACATCTTTGCATGGCCAACTAAATGTCCATTTCATGCAAAAATGTGACTAATCATAGACAATTAAAACTAGTATGCACATCATTTGTAAAACAAGTAATAATTGGTTTAGTGTATCTTTAAAGGGCGAGTATGAAAAAACTGTACTCAATTAACTGTATGTGGTTAATAATGGTATATTCATATATGAATGGCTTATTTCTTATCCCACGTCCTTATTCAAATTAGCTCTAAATTTAAATGAAGATTGAGCTAATTAACAGAAATGACAGTGACAGGGGAACAGCGGCAATTAGGACTAGATTTAGGTATTTACCTAAATAATACATGTTTAATAAATATTGATAATAATAAAAATATAAACTGAATAACAGAATGGAATTACTGTACTAAACAAAATTGCTCCCCTATAAAATAATTCTACCATTAAATGCTTACATAGTAGTCTTGCTGCAACTTCCTGCACAAAGGTCATAATTCAAATTGATTTAATAGGGCACTCCAAAAAGAAATGATGTGCAGTGACCCATAGCGTCCAGACCACTCATCATCTGTTTGGAGCACTAAGCAGCCTTATACAACAGTTCTGACTGATTGCTATGGATCAGGCTGGATCTCACTGCAATTATCATGCTCTTTTTGATCTCCTAATAAGTGCTGAAAACTACCCTGGTGGTCCGAGGTGCTCATTATTGCTAGTTGGAGTGTGTCATTGTGATGGGTTTGATCCTCATTTTTCTATGTAGAAGAGGAGGAAATCATCACGCTTACACCACTGGGTTCCAGCATTGTAATAATTGGGTCAATGATGGGCAAATGTCATTCTCATGTGGGGAGATACGTGCCTATCTATAGCATCTCTTACTAGAACATTTTTAACATTTCTCTTTTTCTTATTAAATAAAGTACATTGCTGAACTAACAGCCGGGAGAATACCGTCTTAGTGCATTAGGGATGATAAATACCTTTTTTCACCCCTCCCCAACAAAAAGAGACACTTAAAGTGGCCCTATACTCAAAAGTGAATTAGCTATTATATAGGTAAAGAATGCATCTAGAAATATTATTTGTGCCTATATAGTACCCTAAGTAAAGGTTTACCTCCTGAAAAATAGTAGAGCACTTCCTGTGTTTAAAGTAAAGTTTTTTTTAGGGATGCACCAGTACCATTGCAGTATCAGTTTTTTTCCAGACTGAGTACGACTAACGATACTTTTCCCCAAGTACTCGCCGATACTAATTTCTCATACCTTTTAGTGTCATGTGACAGTTTTTCTAAAACAATACAGGCTAATGATTTTAGAAAAGTGGTGGAGTGCCAGGGCCCGGTCACAGCTGCGACCGCTGCAAACCCTGGTAGTTCTGCCACTGACTCCAAGCTGTAGAGGGACTATGAATCTCAGCAATACATTATACAGCAATGCAGAATACCACCAACTATAGAGAACAAATCTCAGCAATACATTATACAGCAACGCAGAATAGAATCAGCTATAGAGGACTACAAATCCCAGCAATAGTTTATACAGCAAAGCAGAATAGCATCCTCATGTCCTATACACAGTGTAAAGAACGTGAAGACTCACATGACCTTAGACCGCTGCAGCGCAGGGGAGCGAGTTGGAAGGTGGACTTGACTATGTGCAAGGCGGGTTGGAGGATGGGATGTGTATGACTTTATTTTTGAACCTAGTCAAAAACGAGCATAAAAATTAGTTGTGCTTCAAAAAAAAAAAAAAAAAAGATCCAAAGCAGAACTGATCCTCTGCACACTTCTGCATTGCACTTAACATCCTCCTCCGGTTCCAGCAGTCCTAAGGACTTTACGTCACCAGACCAAATACAGCAACCAAAAAATTATGTAAAAGAAAAGAAAATAGGATTGCAGGGGGTGCTACAAAGGAGGTGGAGGTGCTCTATACACTGTAGGCACAACTATGCCTTTGTTTTGCCAAGGCAACATGGGTTGCCATTCTTGACTATTCCATCTGAAAATGCTAGATGCCTCTCTGTGATACTGACATTCTGGCTTCAATACAAAGACTTGGAAATAGTACACAGTAATCTGGTCTGACTTCACTGGATGCATTTGTGTTACAGGTCAGTTAAAAAAAAAATGATTTAAACCAAAGATATCCAGACTGCTAGCATTTTTGTGAAAGTGTCAGCAAATATATTTCTCTCAGTACAGGTTTAATTAAATAAACCTCTGGAATTTAACATCACAACAGTATGAAGTAAACTGCAGAGTAAAGCAGCTTTAATAACCTTATTCAATTGAGTTATAATTTTTAAGAGCAATGCCAATAGTAGTGAATCAAAATCCATTGTGTACCGTTCTGCTTCCAGCACAGTGAATTCTGATTGGTGACTGTGTATTGCTGCTTTTAAAATAGGCATTTATTAATTATAACTCGTAATTGATTGAGGGCATACATATCATGCTATAGATCAAAGGGTTGGAAATAATAATAGTGGCAAAAGAAAAAAACATTTTATTATTTGTGTATGTGGACAAACTATGCAGTGTTCTATATATAATAACGAGGGAAGATGTTTCCCAATGTCTTAAAAAGTAAACAATTTATTTTACCACTGTTGGCATGGATTTGAAGAAAAAAAAAAAGCTGTAAACATAAATAATTCCTTTATTCAATAAACTTCCCAGCATCCTGTGTTTAAGGTCCTGCTCAGTAGCATCAGAATTATTTCATGACCATATAGACATTATTTTGTATCTTCAGGACTTGGAGCTTTAAATGGATTCCAGTAAAATGCTTGTATGCCTTGATAAAGGTATTTGTCCATTGCTTTGTAACAGTTTCATAATCATTTAAGAATGTTCTCTATTTCTGTGAAAGTCATATTAAAGGATCAAGCTTGACATGTCTTTTTGTGGGAGGATCTGAGTCCTTCTGCAAAGGCAAGATAAATAAGGGTAAGTGTGTGTACCAAATTACTTATATAGAGACAAAGCAATAATTTTTCCACTTCATAGATCAATGATTCGGCCTCATCTTGAGTATGCGGTTCAGTTTTGGTCACCAATCCACAGAAAGGATGTCTTGAACTGGAGACAGTCCAGAGAAGGGCAACAAAACTAAGGCCTGGAGGACTAAAGCTATGAGACAAGGTTGCTAAATTTAGACTTGTTCACGCTGGAAGTGAAGCGATTAAGAGGGGACATGATTTTGATGTACAAAATGTTCAGTGGTGATGGCAACATCAGCAATAAACGTTTTACTGTAAACTCCCTAACAAAGACTAGAGGCAGCCACCTAAAATTGGTGGAGAAAAAAATGTACCCACAAAGGGCGTAGGGAATTCTTTGCAGTCATTGCGGTTACATTTTGGAACTCTCTGCCACAAGCAGTGGTATCAGCAGAGAGTATTGAATATCATTCAAAAATCAATTCGATACCGTCCTAAGAGACTGTAACATGCAGGGGTACAGGTAGTCTTAAAACCTAAGACCACACAGGGACTCATATACACACATGCACACACTACACACAAACTTACACATAAAGGCTGAACTCGATGGATCTGTGTCTTTATTCAACCTCAAATACTATGTAATTATGTAAATTACTGACCTCTGACTGCAAAGCTAATCAGCACATTGGCTGTAACTAAGTTGGAGATAATGTATAAGTAAATAAACAAATGTTTTTAGCTAGTCTAAACTCCTCTTATAAGTATGAGTACTTTAATTCTCTTATATACATATTATTCAGTACCCAGTTGACTCTCCCTGCTGCCTGTCCCCAAGCACCTTAGGCTACTATACATGTATCACTAAGTAAGAATAGATTTGGTCATATTACATTATCTTTTATTGAAAAACAATCATTGTAAAAAGAAAAAAGGTTGGTTCGGTTTATTTCAACTGGATTTTCTGGCAGTTCTGGTTTCCATTTTTACTAAAATAACTGTTTATTGCTGAAGCCCGTCTATGGCCAGCATTAGCAATTTACTAACAAGATCAGTAGTTCTAGACACCTAAGACACACCAGGGAAGGAGATGAAAAGACAGAAAGAGACAGTTTCCACATAGTTTGAACAACTAGCTGTTTTTTGAAGTTTTGCAACTAATATGGTATTTCTTAAAGACCTTGTGGATTAACAACTTTAGAATGGGCAGTTTAAGGTGATTAGATATACACTTGACATCTGATTGAACTACAAGGACCTAGTACAAGGTGAAGTTTGGCATTCTTTTGTATGTTTTACAGTAATAACCCTGAAAACTAAGAGAAACTTGTTTAGGGGTTTTCCCCTAAGCTACCGGCCTTTACTGCAAGCATGTTGTAAGAAGTATAGATGGCTGGTTTGACTTGTGTTAAGGTGGATATCATGTATGTCTCTCATTAGTGATAGAAGCATTACAGAGGAGAGATGCTGGCTCTCCACAGAGCAAGTTGGCATTATCACTGTGGCAAGTCAAAGAACTACTGAAACATGGAAGGACACAAGAAAAGAAGTGGGCCCATTTTCTACAAATGATTTGGTGGTACAGTACAATATAACTGTCAGTGATTTATGCTTGCAGACTTAGAGGCCTGTTTTAAGAACGAAGAATGGCTTTTCTTAAAATCACAGCTAGACACTATCTTTTTGGTAAACACTGTGATCCAACACGGTACAGGAATTAAGCGATAAATGGTCTAAACACATCTATATTGCGGAACATTATTCCTTACAGTAGGAAAGTGGTGCAAGATAGTGGTCTGGGTCCGGCTGAATCCCATCTGCTGCTCCGAAATGTGCGTAAGGAGGTTCTGTTTGTCACGGCCCCATCGCCGGGCTGAGTCCTCCAGCTGAGCAGTAGGAGAGGTGATAATGTTAGAAAAGAAGACAAATGTCTAACAACAATCAGGTATAGTCAGTTCACAGAGGATTTGTATTATGGACGCTAACCTCTCTCTCTAGGCTCTGCACTCTGGCTTGTGACTTTTCCAGTTTGCTTAGAAGAGAAAACTTCTCACTGTCAGTTAATGACTCAGGAACCTGGAAAAGAAAATACTTGATTCTCTGTCCATTTATTGTAAAAAAAAAAGCACAAAATTAGACTTGCTGAATTAAGGAAACATTTTAAAATTGAGCAGATAAGCCAAAACTGTCTCCTGTAAAACTGATTAATATTGTAGGCAGTCAATCAAGATATATTTCAATCGCAGGGCAGACATACTACCTGTGTGCAACAAAGGAGCCCAAAGATACATGGAAGAGATGACAGGGATAGTCCCAGAGGACTGGACTTAAGTAAAGATGTTAAACTGGTAAGGATCCAGGGATGGTCAGGGCCAACCAAACGATTGATGGAAACACACTTAGGGCCCATTCACACTTGATCAGTTGCAATCAGTTGCTTTGCGATCTGTTTTTCAATGGTTGCTAATAGAAGGGCACCAAAAAAAGGAATGGGTGTGAATGGGGCTAGTTCCGTTGCATTACGCTGTGCTGAAAAAAAGAAGAACATGCACTACATTTTTTCCATGCAACAGAATCGGAGTGAAATAGCCCCATTCAAGCCCATTCATTTTTCTGTGCCCTTCTATTAGCAGCCATTGAAAAACGAATCGCAACACAGCAGATCGGAAGGTACAATTGCAAGTCAACGGACCCTTCGTTGATTTGCAATTTCCTTTCCAATTTTGGTGTGAACAGGCCCTAATTCAAAAAGATAGGATAAAGTGCAGTAACTCATGGCTACCAAATCAGGCATCACATTTTTCTTCATATTACTTCAGTAAATTGAAATGTGACTGGTTGATAATGGCCATCATACCTTGCAAGCAATAAATGCACTTTGTACTGCTTACTAAAAGTTCTGCAGCTTTCCGAGCTCCATAAGGCACTGCATGGTACCAATTGCACTGCAACATTGTTACAGTGCTTATAATGCTTTAAATTGCACCCTTTACCCTAACACATTTACCTTCATATTTATCAATTATTGTGCAATTGATAAATTACTTATTTATCAAAGCTGTGCAACAATTGTCTTGCTAGTTGCGACAAGTGCAACAAATTCAGGTAGTTTCTATGTGCGACACATTTACATTTTTTGCACTATGGCTGCAACAAATTTATTAGGAAATACCGCCATATCAGTAATAAGAAAATTGGAGGTAAACAAGACCACTCTCATGTTGAAATAAATTGTGTTGAATGTGTCAGTTTGGTGCTACAGGCAATTCTACAACAGATTCATATACACCTTACCGACAGTCACATAAATCTGTCACAAGTTGCGCTATATGTTGCACCGACGGATTTGAAACACATTTGTAATAAGTGTCTATGACTCTCTTTATCAATGCCAGGGTCTGTGTCCTACTCACCGGATGTATCTGAGTCAGTACTGTGGTTGGTTGTCGAGCTTTATCCAATTCTTCCCTTAAACGTGTGTTCTCAACTAGTAATGTAGCATAAACCTCTCCCTGTAGAGCCTCAACTCGAGCCCCTGAAAGCAAATTAACAAATACCACAATAGTTTTTATTACTGTGTCATCAGCTAGGTTCTATCATGGTGATAAAATGTTTTATCACCATGGTTTACCCTTATCCATGAATCCTATTGTGTACTTAAAGTATATGCAGCGGCAAAACCTTTTCTTATTTTGGAAAGAGTGGGGAAGGGTTAGGACGCCTCAGGTATTTAGTACTCCTTAAACACTATTAGTGTGGTTTACATACTGCACAGCAAACAGGTATGGAAAAAGATTTCACAGGGCATTATGGAACCAAGGAGCAAATTAATTTTCTAAGCTCTTTGGCTCCATCTAGTAGCCATAATACACTGTGAATTCCATTTGCACAGCGGTTTACTGTGTGAATAATTTACAAATCACCCCCTAAGTATTAAAAGCAGCTGTGTTAGTAGCATATATTTGCAGCAAATCTATGTGGAGGGCACACTGTTCCGTCAAAACCCCTCTGTTGTCCCTAATTTAACAAAGTTCCCATCGTGGGACATACACAGAAATAAATATGTCTGGAGGTAACTATTTCCTCCTTAAAGATGCAGAGACACAGCAAAGGCCAACACAGCACAGGCAGCTGAGGACCTCCAGTGCATTCCAGCTATCAATAACTAGCTTTTTAAAACAAGGCAAACATTTCCAACACACTTACTAGTAATAAACATTTGATAAACATGCTTTGTTTCATTTTTAGTTAGGTTAATATGAAATACTGCATTGCAATACTGTATTTAGAATTCTCATATACAGCCTGGATGTGTGGCTAGTCTCCTTAACACATATTTAGTAATAATCCTTATCAGTTATGCTGAAAGAAGCCTGCGTACTGTGCTCAATAAATCAAGCTAGAATTTATACACACAAATAAATCATCACAATGACTGTCCCTTATTGGGTGGCTCAGTATTCGGTAAGGTTTCATTTAGACAAAAGGAGCCAAAAGACAAGCTGCTACTGCTGTGCTGTCTCTTTACCTTTACTTTGCCTTACTTATAATGCTCTAGGGGTCATTTTTCATGCAAAACAACGTTTGTATGCATATAGGAAAAAGAGAAATACAATAAAACTTTGAAACATAAAAAAACTATTGACCAAAGCCATACTAGTTTTCCTTTAAACAGGCTCTTTATAATAATTGGTATTAATTGCATTGAGCGGTGGCAATGCGTATGCTAGGCTGTCTTTTACTAATATTATTGCTCTTATTTTGTATGACATTATTAGATTTTTGGTAAGTTGCCTAGGTTAAGGCTGCAGCATTGCTCAGTGTGGAACTGGCTGAAACATGGCAGAAGAGCTGAAACAACAGAATAGAAATCCTTCAGATGTCAGACATGAATTTACAATGATATATTCAATGTTTCCACGCTAAACATGCTCCCTAATGTGCTCACTTCCAGCTGTCACTCTCAGTGTTCTCTTTCATTTATATTATGCCTTATTACAAAGCTATTTCTCAGTCTACACATTTACTCCCTAGTTTAAGATTAATGTCCCCTTTCATCTGCTTATGGCAAGCTATACATCTTACACCAGTTCTGGCTGAGAAGCAAAGCTTCATCCATAGTATAACAAAATTGTCAAACAAGTCATCACTGTTGCAAATACAGAGAATTAAAACTCTACTTCACTGCATTTTTTTAAGTACCATGCATTCTGACCAGCTGCTATGGGGCTCTTAGAAAGAGATGCCACAGGAAGACCACAAGCATTGCCTGGAGGCAAACCGGCTTGATCCTGGACCAATAAAATCGCAGCCAAGACTGCAACGTCCTTTTATTTACCAGCAGTATGATCAAATGAATATTGGAGCATTTCTTTTTTCTTTATTGTCCCTTTTTCTGTGTTATGCTGCCGGTGTCTCTAGTAAGCCAAGGTTTGAAAGTCGGAGGATGAAAGATACAGCCAAACGTTTTTTATGGGATAATGAGTCCCAATATGGCGACAGCAACATTGGCAACAAACTCTTTAAGATTAACTCCGTTACAAAAACTAGAGGCCACCACCTAAAATTGGTGGAAAACAAATTCCAGCACAAGGGGCGAAGGGGGTTCTTCACTGTAGGAGCGGTTAGGGTCTGGAACTCACTGCCATCGGCAGTGATTTCAGCCAGGAGTGTGGAATTGTTCAAAAAAGTCTTGGATGATTTCCTGAGGGACCGTAATATACAGGGGTACAAGTACTCCTAAGAAAGAGATGATGCGCGGACCTATATGGGTTGGACTTGATGGACTTATGTCTTTATGCAACCCCAAATACTATGTAACTATGTAATATAAACTGTGATTTTTTTTCCTCAGCTTGCATATAGATATGAAACAGCCATATTCAAAAGAAAATTTTTACTCTGATCTATGCATATCAAGCTTTTTTGACCCAATAGTCTATTCACATTCCCAAAGGAATGGATTGTAGCTGGCAAAATTAAAGAATACATAAATCCATTTTAGATAGAGTAAGGAAAGGTTAAAATTCCTGCCAGGTTTTTTTGCCATCTGTATCCCTCCACTTCCTGTTGTGTAATCTCTTTAAAGTGAGGGAAATGTTCTCTTAGATAACCGAAATTAAGTGTTCCTATTGGAAAATTTCCCCTCTAATAATGTTCTAAAGACATTGCAAACTTTGGACTTTCCAGCACATTTAGGCCCTATTCACACTTGCGAATGGGGCTGATCACATGAGAATCACTTTTTCACAGCAGATCTCATGAGTCTAATGGAGGAATTCGTTAGTCTCATTCCATCAGCCCCATTTGCAAGTGTGAACAAGGCCTTATTCCAGGTAACAGTGATCGCCAGGACCAATAGAGAGGGTAAGCAATAAACAGGGACACAGCAATATAAACCAGAAAGGGGTATTACCTCTCAGCACTCTGTCCAAAAGACAAAAAAAAATATTCAACAAAATTGTGTACATGTGGTAAACATAAAAGTAGTTAAAGATGAATTCCAGGTATAAATATTTATATATACTTACATTGGTCTAGCTTGGTCCACTGTAAATATATACTTTTTATACCTGGAAGGGCCACATTAATCCTGTTAAAAACTGCAGAAGCTGCAACTACTGCAGTGCTTTATAGTGATTTTCCAGGTCCTGTACAGCCGCTGAGCTGAGCGAATTCCTCTCTGAAAAATACAGCAATTCGCTTGCTCGCCACGGTGGCCATTCAATTAATGAATACTAGGAGTTCTATGATTGAAGTTTGATTTTAACGTCACAGTATGCCCCTCTTCCAATTAGAGAATGTCTTGTACTTACAGTAATAAAAATGCTAGGTATTTGCTGAATGGTCACTGTGCCGAGTGCTGTAAAGCACTGTAGTAGCTGCAGCTATTACAGAGTTTTACTGGAGCCCCATGGCCTTTCTAAGTATAAAATATATATATATATACTTACATTGGGCCAAGCTGGACCAATGTAAGTATACATAAATATTTATACTGCAGTTCCGTTTTTAATGCTATCCTTTTATATAGTCAATGCTGGTAATATCACCTCGATCTCCTTTGTCAGCACGATTCTTCTTCTCATCCCTGAGTTTATTGTCCAGGAGTTTTTCCATTTTCTCAATTACCTAGATGAAGACAAGGCCAACAAAATTTACCATTAAACACAAATGACTTGTGCTAGGCGAGGAAAAGAACAGAGAGGTAAGTGTTTTCCTGCAGTATGTCTTTTTTATCTTCACAGAAAATGTAGCAGAGTAAATGAGAAATATTGACTGATGGGCGTTAACGGATGTTTGTAGAAATCAGATGTCGGGAGGTTAATCCGGGGAACATGTCTTATGAGAAGGGTGCATTGTTAGGACAGAGTCATTAAACATTCCTTTTGCACAGAGAACAAGCTGGATGATATGCTGTTTGTGGATACCTCCTAATCAGAACTGTGTCCATGGGTGCATTCACATTGATGCACTGTGAATATAATGAATAAGGATCTGCTAGTGCAAGAGATCTTTTTTTATTTTTAAACAATGAGAACAGCTACTTTTACCTTTAACCCCTTCCCGACTGATGACGGGATTATTCCGTCATGGTCTTTCAGTTCATTAAAGACCTGTGACGGAATAATAACGTCATGTAGTAAATTGAGCGCTGGTCTGTCCAGGGACTAGCCCTCATTTAGTTAATGTTGTTGCTGGGTCCCTTGGGGTCCGAGGCAGACCCACAACAGCAAATTTGGTGGTCCCAGCCCCGAGAACACTGCCATAATCACCGTGATCACAGTGCTGTCACAGCCACTGAGCCAGCTTGCAGCTCACTGTGTTGAGGAGCTGCAAGCTGATCAGTGTGCTTTATTGTGATACAAAGTATCTCTGAGGAGAATACAGTGTCTCCTCAGAGATACTAAGGGGTCTATTCACGAAGCAGCCGAAGGATCTAGCCGTAGCTTCGGCCAATCCTTCGGACCCATGACCCCTTCGGTTCAGTAGAACCGAAGGGCTGCTGTACGGGCTATTCACTGTAGCCCGTACAGCTCCCGAACTTGGCCGAGCGGCTCAGTCGAGCCGAACGCATATGCCTCAGCTCGGCTGAGCCGCGCTGAAAGCTGAAGCTGGCCGAGCGGCCGGCCATTGGCCAGCCGACAGCCTGCATCTGACAGTGGCTCCGGCCACTTGCAGAGAGATCAGCGTCCCTGGTTACCAGCTAACCAGGGACACATCTCCAGACAGCAAACTCTCCTGGGCGCTCGGGGAGTCTCCCGCTCCTGTCCGCCAAGGAGAGAAACACTGCTTTTTCTTTATTCTGACATGGAGCCGTGCCAGAATAGAAAAAAAAATGATTTTGGGCCATAGGAATGCATTGCATAGCCAATAGCAAACTAGCATTGCACCCGCCCTCTGCTACAGTTCTCCATCAGGTCCACCACTACTGATTGACAGTAGCAGGGCGGGTACAATAGCTAGTTTGCTATTGGCTATTGTGCCCGGGAGAGTTTTTTTCTTTTCTTTTTTTTGACGGCAGCAGAACGGCAGGCCAATAGAAAACAGTTGGGCGGAGCTAGCTGTCATTGCTAGCTCCGCACAATCGTTTTCTATTTATTTTTTCCACTTTTTAAACAATTTTTCTGTTCTGCTCGGTCCCACAGAGGGATTCGGCTATTCAGTCACTGCTGTTCGGCATCTATGAGAATAGACCGAACAGCAGCGAGTAGCCTGCCGGAGGTCCGGCTTAGCCGATCCAGATGTTGGATCGGCTGAGTCGAACTCCTTCTGCACTTCAGGTCGGCTGAACATGCTGAGCATGTTCGGCCGATCCGAAGCCACCTGAAGTGGATAGCCGAACAGCGTTCGGCTCACTTCGCTTCAGGTCGGTCATTCACTCGGCTGCCTACGGCAGCTTAGTGAATAGACCCCTAAGTATCAAAGCCCCTTGAATGAAACAATTAACTTTTTAGTGCCCCCTAGTTTAAAAAAATGAAACCAGAGGGTCTAACCCAGGGTGGGCAACTCCGGCCCTCCAACTGGGCTTTAACTACAAATCTTAACATGCCTCTACCTCTGGGAGTTATGCCTGTAACTGTCAGTCTTGCAATGCCTCATGGGATTTGTAGTTCCACAATAGCTGGATGGCTGACGTTGCCCAAGTCTTGTCTAACCCACCAAAACAAAAAAAAAAAGAAGTTTTGCCTAGAGACACACATAAACTAGTTTGTTGCTCATAATAATGACGTAACTATACAGTGATCTGAACATGAAAATAAAACTACATTTATATTCTGTGACAACAGTGGAATGCCTTTAGAATATACAAGGTCCAGCTCTGTGGATTACATAAAAATAAGCTTGTCATGAGAGGACTATAAGGCTGTCATTACTGATTTTCCTAAAATGCTAGTCTACCAGCCTGTGTCTGGCTGGTAGACTAACCAGTTACTGACACAGAACATATATGCAGATCATAGAAAAAGTCAGAGAAAAGTCAGAAGTCCTCATCTGCATACATGTCCCAGACCAAAGACTTAAAGTGTTAAAGCTCACAAGTCAGGCAACTTCAGCAGAATAGGTTACCAATAGAAGACTCCATGTTTGCCTCATGACAATTTTAATTGAAGCAAGGTGAGCTTCCATCAGTTGACATGATTCAGAGAAATAGGTGATCACATAAAACTGTGCAAATTACACTTTTGCTTGAATATTAGCAATGGATTACATACTACCATTATGTTCCACCATACTTATGCATCCTCCCTTGTTATATTCATATGCAGATGGTAAGGCTGTGCTCTTTATTGAAGTATTATTCTGTACAGCATGTTAACCTTGGAAGCTGAGCCTCACCTTCTCCTGCTTCCGCACAGTATCCTGTAAGTATTTAGCCCGACTCAGTCGCTGGTGGTACTGGTTTAGCACAGCCTGCTGTTGTTGGTGTGCTCTTTGCAGCAGAAGTAGTTCCTTCTCCCGATCATTTCTCTGGAAAATAACATTAGCAAAGCATAATGCTAAGATAAGAATTTGCTGAGAATGGATCGATACACTGAATTCCATGTGAGTACATTGTCTGGTTAAGGGAGAGCACTGCATTATTTATAATGAGATTCTTATTGACTGGAGCTGGTGTATAAGCTGGTTATTGGCCAAGACATAACAAAGCTCTGAAGCCCATAAAATACAGAACAGACAAAAACCTGGTCATTTGCTCCAATTATTTCAGGACTGCCCATGGCAGATAACATTAGACAGCAGCTGTTCTACTGACTCCACACAAAATGAAAATCCTCTATAGTATTAATTAGCAACCCATCCATGGACAGTTGTAAAGGTGATAAGTATTTCTTATAAGTATTTCTTGCTGACAAATTGTTCTTGTTACTGGGAGGCTGAGATTCATATCCTTACTTAAAATGTATGCAAAGCCACCTTGTCTTATGCAAGAATGACTCTTTAAATGTAGTCGTGCTAGGCTGTAGCCAGCCTGAGCTGAGCGGATAGTTCTGCTTTTGTTGGGTTGTCTCTAAGCTCAGTGTCATTGTTTACTTCTAGTTGATTCCTGGTTAGTGTCCCTGGCAACAGTGTGGGAAGATACGATTACCTAAATTATAAATATTTATATCCCCCTTGCCAACCACTAGGAGGTTTATTGTCAGTGGTAAATGTTGGGAAAGGGTATACATATTTGGGAGAATTTTCTGGAAGCTCTCCTGCCTCCCATGCTTCGGGAGGCAAGTGTGTGCTACCGTTCCTGATCTCCCAGGCCTGCTGCCTGGGGTAGGGGGGCATATGTGCTAGTTAAATACAGGCAAAGGGCTGGGCCCAGAATGGAAGTGTTGCCTGGGAGGAGTGAAGCTGGGCCTTGGACTGGAGCACCAGGGTGAATTTCTCCTGTAAGAGGAGAGTCCAGAGAAACTGTGTAGAAATTTGGACTTTCCATGAAGTCTGTTGGCTCAACCAGTAAGATTGGCTCAGTGCTATTTAGTTTGTACTAATGCACAGAGTGCAGTTCTCAGCTTAAAGAAGATCTCCAGGAAAATGTTATATTAACCCTTGCAGTGGGGATACCCCCACACTGTAAGGGTTAAGTGCTCGTTTATGTCTAGGTGCTAGAAAAAACTTATAATTACCAGACCGTCTGAACCAGCTTCAGCTTTCTCTTAGACCGGTGTGTCAAGCTTCTCCCCCCGCCCCTGCTGCAGTGGTCTAAGGATCCTGGTGTCTTCACACTCTATACAATGTACATAGACTGTGTATACACGTGAGGACACCGGGGAGGAGGAGACACGCTACTGTGATCACAGAAGCAGGGAGCTGCCTCGTGAGGTCTGGTGAGTATAACTAAACTGCAAGGGTTAATACAAAATGTAACCACAGTTCTCTTTCAAAGGTCTTCCTCTGTATGAATGGAATCAGTACTTGCTGTCTGTGCTTTGTGCTGTACTTTGGGGTATCCTGTGACCCTAACTCTCTCCCTGGATTTATTATTCCATATAAAGTCTATCAACTGTTCTAAAGTGAACGGCGACCTTCTGTTCAACCCTAAGGTGAAATGTTGGCCCCCTGACCTCAAACTTTATTCAATTGCCTCCAGGGGTTAAGGGGGTGCTACATGTATATAAAGACTTCGGCCAGCTTCGTCTTTCAGCACGGCTCAGCGCTCGACTGAGCCGCTCGGCCGTGATCGGGAGCTGTACGGGCTATTGTGAATAGCCGTACAGCACCCCCTCGGTTCTCCTGAACCGAAGGGGTCCTGGTGCCGAAGCTAGCCGAAGGATCGGCGAAGCTACGGCCAGACCCTTCGGCAGCTTTGTGAATAGACCACAAAGAGAAAGTCTTTATTGCTGTCTGTGTCCCTGCTAGGGATATTCACCCCTCACCCTTCACCATCATCACTAAAACAGAAAGTAAGGGGAAGTTTTATAGTTGTCACCAGAATAAGAGATGAGGGTAAATTATCCAATGGGTACACCCTTTCCTGTTTCGGTGATAATTGTGAGATTTCCCATCACTTTTGGTTGTGTCTTCAGGCCAGGAAGAGAAGGGATATCTCCCCAGCAGGGCAAAGGAAGCAAAAACGTAACCTAACAGGGGCTTTTACCTTTCCATACCACATCCAAAACTAAAACAAAAATAATTATACATACATTGGATGCAATACATCTGCAATAATAGAAACTTTACTTAATTGAAGGTCTGGTTATGTTTGGCCTTAGAACAATAAAAGTTAAAATACCCATACATGGAATCATAGTTTTTCTTGATAGAAATTATGAGTAGGGTTGGCACCTGTCCAGGATTCACCTGGACAGTCCGGGCTTTGAATGCTGTGTCTGGGTTTCATGGCAGCTAAAACCCGGACACAAGATGTCAGGCACACAGGGGCAACCAAAATTAAGATACTGAAAATATCAGTATGAAAAATACTGAAAATAGTCTCAACTGTGATATTTACATATGAATGGGCAGAACTATTTACATATGAATAAGCCATGACTCATTCTCCCCAAAAAATGTCGGTATGTCGCTAGAGTGTTCGGGTTTCTCTTGAAGAAAAGGTGGCAACCCTAAATTTGAGCCATAATCTGAACCTGAATGAACACTAAAGGATTTGCCCAGACAGTACCAGCCATTGGTAAACACACATATGTATAATGCCATCTCACACCAAATGTACTAAATATGAAATATCTGTTTTGAATCAAGTTTAATTTTACCCAAAATCCACCAAATCTATTGATTAAAAATGGTATTTTCTTCTATGAAAAATTCACACACAGCCTACACATATACAAAATGTATAGCTTGCAGTTCAGTTAGATCTGTTAACCCTGGGTGTTAACCCATTAAGAATTATTGGCAGTTATATAGATAACTAGTGTGCAACTAGGTGTTCAAGTCTTAAATAAATAGAGGAAGATGAAAGAAGAAAATGGTGCAGCCCACAATAATGGGAGAATGATCTGAGGACAAACGGGGAAGATGCTAGTTCCCCAAGTGTGACTTGAACAAAGCTGCTTCACCAGAGGCCCACTACTGGAACACTGATTGCACAGATGGAGACATTTCTATTGCTGTGCTGACTAAGTAAATATAAGACCAACCAGACATACTGTTTTATTATCAGGAGTTTTAGGTGCTGTACATTTGGTGCTTGTACTTTTATAATAATACTGGTATAGGACTATTATTTTTAACAGCATTTATTTAGGCACATAAAGGGCTCCTGTCAACTGACTTTAAACATGTTGATGGCATCATTTTGAGATGCTTCTGAATTTGTAATTCATTGACAGGTACATTTGATCTGCAGTAGACCTCCTTCTGACCCGTCACCCGCATTTTGCCTGCTTCAAGCAGTTTTGCATTCAAAAAGACTTGCCTGGCAGTGCCAAACCCACATGAAGCTCTAGCCCAAGTATGAGTAGGATCAGTAAACCCAACCTTTACCTATAAGTCTGCCCACTGAAGAAGATCTTATCACTCGGCCTTCGTCTGTAAGCACTAGACTTGGTACAGCTTGGCAGACCTCTTTGGTTGTTCATAGATTTCTTGACAGTGGCCATTACATTTCTTACCCTGACTAATTCATTCTGCAGGTGCTGAACCCGGTCCTTGATGCCACGCAGCTCTGATGTTTCACTTGCTAGTTTCTGTTTCAGTGTTACTACAAGGGGAAGACAAAGGAAATAAACTTTATTCCCTGTTCACCTGCAGTTACAGAACAGGCACCACTTTCATGATACAATTTTATACTGTTACATCAAACAAGACTGTAGATAATCCAACCAGCAAAACTCAGTAAACATATTTCATAAAAAGTTAATATGCACGTCATTAGAACTATGTGAATGAAATTCTCAGGTGCCCTCTCATGGACCTTTTGTGCATGGACATGGACATCAATCTCTGAAATCCTACACATATAGAGTTTGGTACAAGAAAACCTGCATTCAATTTATCCTGAAAATGCATCTGTATGTCACACAGGGTGACTGATCAGCTAGGCCTGTCAGTTTTTTTAGGTGGACCCGATTGGATGGCCAATGCTAGTCTATGGGCAGCCGTGTGTAAATGAATGGGCATCCATTTATACCCGGTTACCCCCGACTCCAGCCAGGTCCAGAAAAACAAAGGGAACAGTGTTCCGTTTTGATGGACCTGATGGTGCTGGATCGGGGGTAATCTGATGGAAAAGGACACGTGTCCATTTATATCCGATTCCCCATAGACCGACATGGGGTCTGGTCATTTTAGTTTTTTCCTCCATTGCAAGATGGAGGTAAAAACTGGACGGACACAGATGTCACAGCATTGACATCCGATCCATACCGCTCCTAACAGGAGGGGATCTGTGTACGGATCCCCTCCTGATCAGCCCGTGTGAGAGGGGCTAAATGATGATTGTAAGCTTTATCTTTTTTTGTTAAATAAAGTTTTGTGTTCATCAATGACATTGTTAACCATATTTTGACAAGTCACATGATGACACAGCAAAGGCATCTAAAATACATAATCTGTGCTGGCCATGTATTTCATATTCTTAACGACTGACCATAATTTAATCAAAAATGGCTTGGAATGCACTTAAATAGGAAAAAATGAAAGCTGAATGCATCCTCAATGCAAAAAAAAACAAATAAGCAAAAACTCTCACCTAATCGATCAGCTAATTCAGCTTTGGTCATGACATCGATGTCTGTGTCACTGAGAATGCTGCGTCCCAGATCCTGGTTCAGGCTGCGTTCACTACGCAAAGCACTGTTTTCTGATTCCAGTCCACTCATCTGACGGCGAAGAGCAATGATGTCATCAGCCATACGCTGCATTGCCAGGCGATAGTTTGCCAGCTCCTATTGGTAACATGCAGAAGAACAACAAATGAACATATGTACCATTTGTCTTGCTACATTGTAAAGCCTTAATAAATACAACTGAAACGGTTTCATATTCCCTGAACTATTAGGCCTTGTTCACACCAAGCGCGGAGCAGGTGCAGAGCAGTTACAGACCGGAGCAAAACTGCGTCCAATGTATTCCAATGGTATTTTTAGCTCCAGTTCACATCGCGGCGCGCAGTTCCAGAGCAGGTAAAAAAACTGCAGCAGGCCCTATTTTACCTGCTCTGGAATGCATGCAAACGCATCAAAAACGCACCAAAAACGCCTGGAACCCACTGAAAGCCCATTTTAAACTAAAAAAATATTATCATTATTTTTTTTTAACCAAAAAACGGCCCGGAACGCATCAAAAACGGGGCAAAAATGCGGCACAACCCACTGCACTGCGTGTGCAGAAACCTGAGCGGATCTGCTCTGCATTTGGTGTGAACAAGGCCTAAAGATCCTTCTGACTCCCCCTGCATTCTGTATAGTTCTCTTGTTGAATTTAGCCACATATTTCTGGAGGTGGGCATAAGTAGGAAGCATAATAAGAAAAATGATTATCACAATTTATACATTTTTTCCGCTCCTCTAACCCCACTGCCCTAATGACTGACCTACAAGTGCCATTACTGTAGATACAGGCTGGTGGTGCTGTCATCATTATAGCTGGTTGAAGAATTAAACTGGATGGAGTTCAGTTTGTGGCCAGAAGAGGGAGATCCATAACTGTGCAGGTTGTGCATAGCGTCTATGCTTTTATTGATTGCTATTTACTTGTACAGTGCTCACATATTCTTCTGTGCTTAAAGGGAATGTATAATGTATTTTTGGTGAGGACATATATAAAGTGTTGTTTTGCAATATTGCAGCACAGGGTCCTAGGGGCACATCAAAGTAGTAGGGGAGTGTGAGGAAGTATGTATAAACACCTTGCCGTGTCTGCTTTTAAAGTGTATGTAAACCCCAACAATGAACTCTATTTATTTTCTACTTTGTGTACTGTTAATTGGAAGCATTTTGTTATATCTGTTTGATAAGTGCAAAAGAAACCTCTTGATCTTGTCAGAAATTCAGACCTGTCCTAAGACCTCTACACATTTCCTGTGTTATCTCAAAGAGGCTATTTAGCCCTCTGAGTTGTTATCTTGGATTACAGAATGATTAGCCTTTATGCTGTAGAGATCTGAGAGTGAGTAGTTTAGCAAAAGACACTGGGCAGGGCTGACACCACTCCATCCACAAAAATGTTTTGTGTTGTCAGCCCACACTAGGACATAAGAGCTGAGTGCAGTTCTGGCAGATCAACAGGTATTTTTCTGTACTTGCATTAAAGGGATAAAGACATACTGAAATCTGCATGAATTGTAGAGATCTAATGGATTCTTATTTTATTTTGCCTTGACATAGGCTTGAAGGCAACCTGCTATGTGTTTTCTAAAGATTATTTATTAGATCCAAATATTTACTAAAAATAAGGCTGGCCGTGGACTGGAATATTTTTCTCACCATACAACAAAAGTATGACTTTTGCAAGCGATCAGAATTGTAACAACATTCAAAAATGCAAATGATGTTTGCAATTTGAACATTTTCTGAAAATAATGCGTAGGTTCAACTCTTTGTAGCGGATTTTGTCCAACAATAGTTCACCCAACACACTCTCTGCAATTGTTGTCATTAAAAACATTTGCCATTAAGGCCTCGTTTTACACAAAACGCAAGAGCAAAATTGTATGCTATTTGTAAATGCGTATAGTCGCGCATATGCGTATATGTATGCGCGTATATACGCGCATATGCGTAAACTGTATGCAATCCCAGCATGCATAATTTTTTATAGAAACTTTAATGTACTGTACGTGCGTATACGGACGAACATAATCGCATATATGTGCGCACGCACGTAGAATATACAGAAATTCCGAGCCCGGACGCATCTCAGTTCGATTTTTTTGCGCATCATTACGCAGCGCAAAAATACGGCTCAATATGCAGCTGTATGTATGGAGCCATTTATTTGCATACGCTGCAAATAAATGCAATACTGCAATATCTCAGTGCAGCATATCATATGGAAGTATGAATGAGGCCTAAGAACTGTCTGAATATAGTGAGGGGAATTAATCAAAACTGGAGCAGACAAAAACTGGAGCAGCTGTGCATGGCAACCAATCAGCTTCTCTCTTTCATTTTCAAATCTCAACTTAATAAACTTAAGAGAGAAGCTGATTGCTTGCCATGCACAACTGCTCCAGTCTTTGTCTGCTCCAGTACTGATAAATTCCCCCCGATGAATTTCTATCTTGCTGGAAAATTAATTTGTCTGATACCTGCCAGTTTATTGGTCATTGTTCAATTGTTTGAACTTACAAAAAAACTAACAAATAACTGTGAAAGTGTGTTTAATCTTCAGCATATCAAGCAATAATCATCGCTTCATGGCCAGCCAAGGGGTCTGTGTACATGAGCTTGTGTTAACTTCAGAACGTTAAAGCTTTTTTCCCCTTGCAAGTTATTGGGGATGCAAAAAAAGGTTGATGCTGCATTGAAGAAAGATAACTTCAGAACAAATGCACTTGTGAAGGTTTTGACCTCATATACTGAAAGCTGACAGCATGTAAAAGCTTGCTGCATCTGCCCATCTGCACAACCCGTAGGCTGGCCATACACTGCTCTATTTTTCTTGTTCGACCCGTGGGCTGAATTAAGAAAATAGAGCAGATTCCTCCGTCAACACTACAAGTGTGTCGATTGAGGAATCCCGCTGTTTGCATTGGCTCATTGGCTGCCAGCTCTGGTTGTACGAAGATTTTTCAGCCGACACCTTTGATCAGCTGATTGAGGGATGCTGGCCCAAATGCGCACAGTGTGTGCCGCTGTCGGCACCCTTTCGGCCTCCTTCGGTTCCTTAAGAACAGTGTATGGGCACCCTTACTAAAATAGTGCGCAGCTGACAAAAACTCCTGGCACAAGGTTACAGCGGGCAAAGACACAGAGATATTTTGTCAAATACAAAGAAGAATAAGATATGTGTTCTTTCTCCAAATAGTTACAAAGAACCATATGGGCACAACTGTCATTTCGTGCTGGCATGTTCCAATTTTCCATGCACATATTTTCTGTCATTCACTTCCAGGGAAGAAGAAATTGTTCGGCAACAGCCAGTGATTTACATTAATAATTTCAGTCTTAAGCAATATTTACTGATTTCAGTTGCTTAGTCATTCCAAAATGCTGGTTTATAGCTATTTCATATCCATGTGGCTGAAGGGTGTAGTATGAGAGGCTGAATGCTTTATCCTGATTCCTTACAGCATTTGCATCTATGGACAACGTTAGAGATGAGCCATAGTTGTAATTATTGTGGTGATAGAGGCTGCTAGATGATCTCACAGTGGGGAACTCAGGCGGCCATTAATGGACAAAGCCCCTGGACCCCCTGAAGAGAGACAAAAGCCAACCAGAATTCTTTAGGGAACCTATAGTGTATTTTCAGTAAACACTAAAGATCACTGAATCGACCGTCTTGGGATGATTCACATAAGGAGGAGATTTGCAAATATAATCCAATCTACTTTTGATCTGCTCATAACATATGTTTTGAAAAAAAAAAAGTATAGTCCCGCCAAATAACACCAACACAGCAAACAAGGCATATGACTGATTGCTGGAGTGCTGTAAATGTAATAACCCCTACCATGCTTATACCAGCCAATAACCTCCTGGGCACTAGACAGGTATCCATTGGTGTCCCCAGAGAAGGTGCTGTGGAAAATAAAAGTCAATGGGCAAATTACCTGTCCTATTCAAAGGAGTATCCTACAACACTAATGCTTGTATTTAGTTAATGTGCTAGGAACTACAAAACTCAACCTATTATAATACTGCTACACAATACACATTTAATAAGGTATGTGGGTAGTATAATAATGGCACTGGAGACTCGCTGCAATGAAATAAAGAACTGTACTAATGGGAAGTGAGACAGGTGGATGACGATGGTTTTCTTATGTATCATTTGGAAAAGATAGCAAATCTTTGTTATAACAAAAGGTAAAACAAGTAAAGTTCATAAGGCACAGTGATCAGTAAAATAATTACTCAGCACGCTGGTTCTATAACACCGCTTAAGATTGCCACTTACTTACAGCCTGGGAAAGCCTCACGCTTGGCCAAAACACCATATGAGGTCCATTAGAAAATTCCTAATGTTGGTAGGTCTGGAACCCTGTGAATGCACCACACTGCCTGCCTCTATGCATCCCGCAAAAGCTTTGCCAGGAAGATTGGGGTTGCTTTTTGGCCAGTGTCAGTCTTTCCACCACCATTTGACAATCATTGGAGGAAGTAAGGAACAGGAGGCAGACATGAAGAATTGGAGTAAGTGTTTGCTACACTATCTATCTATCTATCTATCTATCTATCTATCTATCTATCTATCTATCTATCTATCTATCTCTCTATTTCAAGTGCCTCTTTCTGTGTCTCGCGCTCTCTCTCTCTTCTCTCTCTATATATATACACACACACACACACACACACAAATGTACACATGAAATCCCACACATAACCTTATGCTGGATGGAGCATGCATGGTTAATATGCATTGTGCTTAATATTTGTTCTCAGTTATTGACTTTTTAAATAAACCTGACACTCTGCACTAGCAGAAAGGGCAGCAAGACCCTCAGGCTTGTAATGAATAACAGTTTACCATCTTTGCCTAGTGCTTTATGTTGTGCCTTATGCTGTAAATTTGGGAAACTCATGAGAATATAAGCAACACATATGAACACAATTCTATATATGGCTACACGTGTACATCACACATAGTATATAGTACTTACCTGTTCTTGATGCTCCATCACAGGGTCTGCTGGCAGTTCCACATTATTACTAGAAAACATTAGAGGTCACAATCATTTTAGGTCCTTTATTCAGGATGTGTCTTTGGAGACAGCTCAATTTCATGGACAAATGTTGACTGTCATACACAAATAAGAACTACACCTCTACAAAAAGTTGATCAGGGAGAATGGGCATTTTGTTTTGCTGATTTTAACTATTCTTTACTTTGTGGTTCAAGCTATGGTTCCTGAACAATATTTGGAGATATAGACTTTATGATGCCCTAGATACAAACCTTGTATAATAAAAAAACAATGCTGAACGTGCTATTGGGGAAAACCTGCTGTCTGCCATATACTGACAGCTACCGTACTACCTATGACTGTACGAAACAATACACATGAGAAAGGAGAGATAGTTTCATGTTTATGAACCAAAGTGAGACCTCTTGACTCCTTCAATATCCCCTGCACACCCTGCTATATTTCCTTTACCACAAATGTCTGCAGATTGTCAGAAGAAGGGAGCAAAATAAGTAGAAGGATTATCACAGTTAATACATTTCAGGCTTAATGCTGTCCCCTACCATACTGCCTCAGGCACCGCCCTGGGAGTGCCATTATGGTAAACACAGTCCTGACTCTATGTGAATTTTGATAGAAAATAAAGCGTATTTGCAGAAATAAAAGGCATTCCTAGGTATGTTTGTGTCCCTAAAAAATACTCTGCAGATATAATGTTAAAAGAAACGTTTTGCTTACATGTCATATATTAAGGAAAGTTATTTAGTTGCTTGTACCTCAGGTGTTGTTGAGAAAGGCTCGAATTGGCCAGTTGTTGAAGTCCCACAGCATCTGCAGGCTTCTGTTCTCTTGGTGTCTGCTGAATCCATGGGTCTGGAAGAATGTCAGCCAGTGCATTGTAGGGAGGCAAAGAAGGCCCATCTTTTTGTAGCTAAAACGAAAAGGAAAAAAAAATCATTGTACAAACACAGAGCCATATAGAACAAAACAATGATAATGATATTACTTACAGAGGAGGAATATGGTCTATAAAAACTCTCCATCCATGAGAGTTGGGAGATCCTCTATACCTATTTAGATCCACTACACCTGAGCAATATCAGTATCAAAAAGCTGTGCTCACAGGTCTAAGTAGTAAGAAATAGCTTTGCTTCCAGGTCTAAGTAGTAAGAAATAGCTTTGCTTCAAGGTCTAAGTAGTAAGAAATAGCTTTGCTAGTGATAGATAACAGCACCCAACCCTGCACAGTATCCTAGAGAGATAAGGGTTGCACAGTTACCCTCCCATCCAAACACACACCCTCCTTCTTACACCAAATAGCAACCACCACTTTACTTCAGCCATCCTACTCACCTTTTGTAACGTAGCCAGTGTGGTTAAGATGTTCAGTCAGTATGCTTCAGGGCAGAATTAGGAGGACAGGTAAACTTACACACCCTTTGCTCTGTTCCTCATTTACTTATACTACCTGTTATCTAGCACTCTTAGATGTCCACTACGTCGTCAGGCTTACCTGTTTCACTTCCACCTGCCTCTACTATGTATCTAGTTTCTGCTTTTAAAAGAACAGTCTTTCCTCGTCACTATCACTTCCTCATAGCCGGTGTCAATACACTTGTCAACACCAGATCATTTATTTATTTTTTGTGCCCTGTCTTCCTACATTTTTCATATTTTTCTCTATTCCCTCTTTCTTCTGTCGGCTTTAATTCTTTAGAGACACCTCTCCATGAATCCAGGTTGTCACAACATTGAATCTCCCTGGAAACTGTGACCAAGAGGAAGAGGGCAGGGCCTGGGCCACAAGCCTGTAATCTCAGAGCAGCACAATCAAGCCTTCACAAACTCACTCATTATGCTTTTTTCTTGTATTCAAAGAAAGGACTCGGAGACTGATGTCACTGAGAAGACGGCCCAGTGTCTATATGCAATAATTATGACATTTGTATCAAATCAGACTGTTACATAAAGTGATAGCAAGAGGAGCCTTTCATAACTGTAGTCGAAATACTTAACTACTTGAGTCCCTGGTCCTTTCTCCCTCAATAGTCCCAGAGGGTTTTTTTTGTGCTTGTTTGCTTCTCTGTTTTTTTGGTTTTGCCCATTATAGGTTTTGTAGCCTACCCTAACATATGCATTGTTGTTTTTTTTCTGGACAGATAAAGCTTTAATTTGGTAGCAAATTTGGATACATGTATTGTTATTTCTTTAGATTTTTATAGGGCATAAATAGTAAAAAAAAAACATACAAAAATGCATTTTCCTGTCATTTTTCCCAATGCAACATTTACGTAATTTGAAAAATCCCATATATTTTCCACAAAATATAACCAACCAAGTCTGCTGATTAAAAGAATATGAAATTAGTGCAACTTCTATGTAGCAATGTAGCAGAATGGTAAAGGAGAGCTTTAGGTGAGCTTTATTCCCCTTTTGAGGTTATATTGCGACACACGTGGGGGGAGAAAAAGATGCTTTGGATAAATTATTAGCGGAACCTTAAGATAATATTAAGTGGGGCTGAAAGGACATAAATTTACACGATGGGGCTTTTTTCACAAGTTTGCAGTCTCTAAAAATACAAATGACATCACCTTTTCACATAAGCATTTGATGCTTGCACAGCGCAAATGTCTTCCGAATCTTTCGACTTAATTTTTGCAAGCTGAGAATTAATCTGGGGAGGGAATAGTTTTACTATCTGTCTATCACAGGGGTCAGCAACCTTTTACACACCAAGTGCCATTTTTGAAACCATCAAACAACCGGGTGCCAGTGAACAATACATTTAAATTTTTCCACTCATAGCTGTACTGCTAATAGTAAGTTAAACTCACTAATGTTTTAATGTGTTTACCTTGCCATAAGCAGCACATCTATAAGTGGAAAAAAATGAATAACTAGTGCACACATAAAACATATTAATATTTACATGTGCTGAAAAGTAAACTGGACTTACAGTTCTAGTGCGATCCCTGTGTCTTTATTTGATGGCTCAGTTATGCTATGTCTGGCCTGTAGGATGTTACTTTTAGCTGACCTTAGACCAGCACCAATGCATACTTTGATTGCCAGATCTCAGAGCAGCACCAATGCCCTGCAGACTTCAGAGCAGCACCAATGGCCTGCAGACGTCAGAGCAGCACCAATGCCCTGCAGACTTCAGAGCAGCACCAATGCCCTGCAGACCACAGACCAGCACCAATGCCCTGCAGACCACAGACCAGCACCAATGCCCTGCAGACCACAGACCAGCACCAATGCCCTGCTGACCTCAGACAAGCACCAATGCCCTGCTGACCTCAGACCAGCACCAATGCCCTGCAGACCACAGACCAGCACCAATGCCCTGCTGACCTCAGACCAGCACCAATGCCCTGCTGACCCCAGACCAGCACCAATGCCCTGCTGACCTCAGAGCAGCACCAATGCCCTGCTGACCCCAGACCAGCACCAATGCCCTGCTGACCTCAGAGCAGCACCAATGCCCTGCTGACATCAGAGCAGCACCAATGCCCTGCTGACCTGACCTCAGAGCAGCACCAATGCCCTGCTGACCTCAGAGCAGCACCAATGCCCTGCAAACCTCAGACCAGCACCAACGAACGACAGACCTCAGACCAGCACCAATGCACAATTTGCACTGCAGACCAAGGCAGGACAGACCTCAGACCAGCACCAACGCAGGGCAGACCTCAGATCAACACCAACACACTGCAGACCTCAGACCAGCATCAACGCACGACATACCTCAGACGAGCACCAATGCACACTGTGCACTGCAGACCAACGTAGGACAGACCTCAGACCAGCACCAATGCAGGACAGACCTCAGAGCAGCACCAATGCACTGCAGACCTGAGACCACCATCAACGCACGGCAGACCTCAGACCAGCACCAACGCTCCAGCAGACCTCAGACCTGCACCAATGCATGTCAGACCTCAGATCAGCAGCAAACAGATGGCAGACCTGAGCAGCACCAACACATTGCAGACCTCAGACCAGCACCAATGCAGGACAGACCTCAAACCAGCTTCAAATGCACAGCAGGCCTCAGACTAGCAGCAACGCACTGCAGACCTCAGACCAGCACCACCCCCTGCAGACCTCAGACCAGCCCTAACACACGGCAGACCTCAGACCAGCACCAACGCATGGCAGACCTCATATCAGCAAACGCATGGCAGACCTCAGATCAGCACCAACACATGGCGGACCTCAGATCAGCACCAATGCACGACAGACCTCAAAACAAGCATCAAACACATGTCAGACCTCAGACCAGCACCAAAACATGACAGGCCACTGACCAGCACCAACGCATGTCAGACCGCAGACCAGCAGCAAACACATGGCAGACCTCATACCAGCAGTAAACACATGACAAACCACCACCAATTTAGACACTTTAGCCTGCATATCAGCCACAAAAACTGTATGACTGATACGTTTTCAATTTCTCATGCTTGAAAATGTTTTATATTAGAAGCAGTCTTGCTTACCTACATGGACCAAGGCATATTAGGCACACACGCAGACCCATACAAGTGCACAGCAGTATTATTAGCCACAAAAAGCACTGATTTTATTCCTGTCTTACATATAAGGGCAGGAATAAAATCAAAGCTATTTGTGGATCAATATACTGCTGTGCATTTGTGAGGGCCTGCATGTGTGCTGGTAGGAGTTTTAATGTTTATGTATGTGAGCAGTATACATGTGGTACCTGCTCTATATTCCGGGTGATTGTCTGGCTCTTTTATCTGTGCTCGGGCACGGTGTGCAGTGAAATCCTCCTGTCGGGCAGGGTACAGTAATTCCGTCCCATCCCATTAGGCGTGGATGAGCCCGCTCCTGTCTGGCGGGCTGGCACTTGAGGGATCCTTCAGGTAGGAGCTTGAGCAGAAGGCGCTGAGGGCCCCGTCAGCGCGCCTCTGCGTTCCTATGCTGCTCAGCCACGTCACTGAGGTGGGTGGGCCAGTAATGTAATTGACAGCCGGCTCGAGGGAGCTGTCAATTACAAGCAAAAATGTTGCGTGCCAGCTGTCAAGGTCTTGCGTGCCAGGCTGGGCATGTGTTTCCGGGGGTTGCCGACCCCTGGTCTATCATATATACATTATGTCTATTGTGTATGTGTATGTATCTATATATATATGCTGGCTTCCCGGCCAATCAGCATCGAGGCAGCCAAACAGCATGGAGCCGTCTTCCTGGGCAATCAGGAAGCCGGGCAGCTGGTAATGACACGCTGCCCAGTTTCCTGATTGCCAGGGAAGCCGGCTCCATGTTACCGGAAGTACCGGTATTGGTATTCGGTATTGGTGCTCCTACTCACGCTCCGCAACCTTGGCATCAATGACACTGCTCTCGCTTGGTTCTCTTCCTATCTATCTGACCGTTCCTTCAACGTTTCCTTCTCTGGCTCCACCTCCCCCTCTGTTCCTCTCTCTGTTAAGAGTCCCACAAGGTTCTGTAGTAGGTCCTCTTCTATGCTCAGTCTACACTGCCTCTCTTCGTAACCTTATCTCATCATACTGCTTTTATTACCACCTCTATGCTGATGATACTCAGATCTACCTCTCCTCACCGGATCCGTCCCCCAATCTGTTGGCTCGCGTATCTGATTGCCTATCCGCTGTTTCAAAATGGATGACTAATTGCTTCCTCAAACTGAACCTCTCCAACTCCTCGTCTTTCCTCCCTCAAATGCAATCTTTTCTCACTAAGGAAACCACCAAAATGCTTGTCCATGCACTAATAATTTCTGACTTGACTACTGCAACCATATTCTCATCGGCCTGAAACATGCCCAGATTGCCCCCCTTCAATCCATCATTAACGCTTCAGCCAGATTCATCTACCTTACCTCTCACTACTCTCCTATGTCACCCCTCTGTCAATCTCTGCACTGGCTTCTTGTTTCTTTTA